GATTATCATGGAAGAGTTTTGCGATGTAGACACAAGCTAATATGTCGCGGTGTACAATGTGCAGTCGACTTCTTATTATTTATTTTTTTTTGTAAATGCTATTCTGGCAGAAGTGCCTACTACTAATTACAAGTGGGACAGATCGCAATCATTAAAATAATTGTATTAAAATAAAATAATTGTTTTTGATTTAAACTTAAACAGTAAAGTAAAATTAAATTTGAGAAACCATCAGATAATTGTAAATTAGGCACGCTATTTCTGTCAAATAATATTGAATAAATGAGTGGGGGGAAATTGGGAGGTCGCGAATAAATTTTTTAGCAAAAAGGGTCGCGGTTTAGATAAGTTTGGGAAACTCTGGAATAAGTAATGCAAATCGAAAATAAAAGTACTATACTGTCCAGAGCCAATCCTCCTCTGCCTTGCGGTAGACACTTATCGATAATAAAATATTAATGAATCTCTTAGATCTGTGGTAAGACCATACACCTTCTGGAGTAAATATTGATGGTATTTTTAGCAACACAGCTACGACATTCACGGCTTAAAATAAACTAAAATAACTAAATTTATTTAGTGGGTAGGTTGTGATATTTATGGGAAATATGATTATTAAATTTCCGAAAATTAGAAAGCAATAATGTCCTTTCAGATAGCTCCTACTATCTGAAATTAATATTAAAGGAATATTTAGCAAATATAGTCTATAGTTTTTGTCAATGGTTATCTATTGTTTTTTAACTGACGTCATTTCTGATACGCAGTAGTCAAAATTTTCAAGATAGACCAAACTGTATTGCCTTACTTTGAGAAGAATTATCTTGTCATGTCAATTTGTCTCTTCCCCTAAAACTACGTCTAGTTAAATGCTACATTTTTCCGATCTTACTGTATGGCGTGGAGGCCTGGACGCTGACGGAGACGTTAACGAGAAAACTAGAAGCATTCGAAATGTAAGTGTACCGACGCATTCTTTGTATATCCTGGACCGAACATGTCACCAACATAGAGGTACTCCAGCGAATCGGAAAGGAGAAAGAAATCGTGAATACAATTAAACAAAGAAAGCTTGAATATCTAGGTCACATATTGAGACACGATAAGTACCGTATACTGTAATTGATTGTCCAGGGAAAAATAGACAGTAAGCGAGGGCCAGGTAGGAGAAGACACTCGTGGCTCCAAAATCTGCGGAAGTGTTTCGGGCTGACATCGGTCGAACTATTCAGAAGCGCCGCAAACAAGATCAAAATTGCCATGTTAATAGCAAACGTTTGCAACGGACAGGGCACTTGAAGAAGAAGAAGTCAATTTGAACTTTTCTGCCAAAAAACAAACCACCAGCTTCCGTAAATGTTGCCCATTTCTCAGTGTTACCGGTTAGATATACAGTCTGTCCCAAACCCTTCTTTCAGTGCGTCATAGTTGTTCGAATTCTCTCTAACGCATTAAGCTAGAAGTGACAGAAAAAAACGTGAGTCGCTGACTCTTATACATAGAACTTAGAAAATTAGGTATCGTTCACGGGTATTCGCATATTAAAGCGAATTTTACTTACGAACGTATAATTGGTTGGAGTTTAGAATACGCTAAATAGATATCCAATCAATTATGCATATAAATATAATTTGACACAGATGATCTTGATAATGACAGTGACAGTACTTTCACAATGTCAACTGATAAAATGATAATTGCCATTTCAGGTTAGTATTTTCAAACATTTTAACTACAGTGAAAATTAAATTTTGTATTTATTGTCATAAAAATATTTTAAATATTCCGAGATATACCCAGAATGAAAAAAGACTAATATTAAAATTATTAAATTAGTTTCAATTAGAAAAAGAGGCTGAGACATCTTTATTTCAGTTTCTGTCCTTCGCGAATCAGATTGTGAATTCCGGAATGATATTGAGGAAATATCTTTTTCTACTTTCTTACTAGTAAATTGTATATTACCTACTATTTGGATGCTAAGTAAATGCATCATAACAGATACTGACACGTAATGACTAGCACGTAATAAAAAAAAATTACGCTTCAGTTTTATAAAAATGTGTAATATCACATAAGCCTCGTAAGTCAGTTGGTCGAGTTACCATGGAAACGAATAAACAGACGTTATTTTGACAGATTAAAAATTATTAATCTGTCAGTGTAAATATAGTGGTAATTTAATTTTTATTTTTATAAACGAAAATAATGGTAGAAAAAGTATAGTACACAACTTGAGTTGTAAGCTTATTACATGCTTGTAAAATTACTGCGCTCGCCGCTACGCGGCTCGCGCGCAACTTTTTTACTCGCATGTAATAAGCCTCTTACAACTCTCGTTATGTAATATACTATAAACTAATACCTTTATGGATATTTATATGCATTAAAAACGGTTCTTTTTAGAACCACGACATTTTCTTGAAATGCAGGACATAATTGATACCAACCACATATCTAGTGTAATCATTGATTTTGAAGAATCAGATTCTGAATGGGATTATAGATTGTTTGAAATATAATATTCATTTTTGTTATTCATAAAAAAGAAGGTAAACTTACATTCGGTATCTTGTTTTTTAACTAAACTCCATTAACACGATTTAATCTGGATATCGGAACTGGTAGATTATCTCAAAAATAAACTGCTTCACTATTTAAACTATTTATATTGTTTTTTTTTACCTAAACTTTATAACGTTCTTTCATTTGCACATCAAATCTGGTAGAATAACTCAAAAATCAACTGCTTCACTAATTAAACTATTTCCACTATTTAATGACAACTCTTCACAAAATTAAACTATTGGCTGCCACACAAACTTATCAGAAAATTACTTATCCAATTAATATGACTGATTTAAATCGATATTATTTTATCACAGAAATGTTTACTTTGATGCCTTGCAATTGTCAGTAAATTTTTTTACCTTGAAGTCAACTCTTAAAAGATTCTAGGAGAAAGCGTTATTTTAAATAGACAAACCTTCCAATTCCCTAGTGTTTGTAATAAATAATAATAAATCCATAAACAAATCTTAGCTAATTAAGCACTTTCCATGGAATGTATAAAATAGAACAGAATAGAATAGAATTATTACAAACTGCTATGCATTAAAAAAAAGTAACCTTTTCACGTTTAGCGGATTACGATCCTGCAACTGTCAGATTTAACTAAAATGTCATGCAATAATTCTCGACATTCTTAAAATCCTATATGACGTCAAAATTATTGACGCACTGAAAAAAGGGTTTGGGACAGACTGTAGTATGTAATAGTATATTACATAACGAGAGTTGTAAGAAGCTTATTACATGCGAGTAAAAAAGTTGCGCGAGAGCCGCGTAGCGGCGAGCGCAGTAATTTTACAAGCATGTAATAAGCTTACAACTCAAGTTGTGTACTATACTTTTTCTACGATTATTTTCGTTTATAAAAATAAAAATTAAATTACCACTATATTTACACTAACAGATTAATAATTTTTAATCTGTCAAAATAACGTCTGTTATTTCGTTTCCATGGTAACTCGACCAACTGACTTACGAGGCTTATGTGATATTACACATTTTTATAAAACTGAAGCGTAATTTTTTTTTTATTACGTGCTAGTCATTACGTGTCAGTATCTGTTATGATGTATTTACTTAGCATCCAAATATAGTAAGGTAATAAAAACGCATTTTATAAATCCAACAAAAATTTTAACAATTGTGTTAACTTTTATTTTAATAATAAAAAAGTAATACAAACTAGATAAAGTGCTTACTGCTAATATAAATATTTATTCACACAAACAATTGCTTAATTACACAAAAATAATCCTTCGATTACGTACGTAAATATATACATTATTTAAATAAAAAAATAATTCTTAAATTAAAAAAAAAATAACAGATAAATGACTTTTCACAACAAATGTCATGGAAATGAATAGATTTTAACCTATAAATCAAGACTTAAGAGAAGTATAAAGAAAAATGCGAGAGGTTTCTAAAAAATAAATGTGAAATAACATATTTATAGCATATTTCGAAATACAGAAGCGTATTCAAATACAATTTTTTTAAAGTGCTTCTAAGTGGCTTCTGAAGTTCAACAAACTGTAGAATTAGTAAAATTCAATAATAATCCGGAGCACAATACATGTACAGTTTTTCCATTGCAATAAATTGGTTAGCATATGTATGTCATTATATGGAATGTAATAGTTTGAACTCTAAAAAAAAGAATTCCCGAGTGTTACCGTCGACAATTTAGAGGAATTATGACATCTAAGCCTAAATGGTACAAATCTAAATCTGGTGAATGAAGTAAAGAAAACCAGGCATGCTATATTGGATCTATTAAGTGGTAAAACCAACATTTATATATAAAAATCACTGATTGGCCAACGGAATACATGAACAGTAGCTGAGGAGGAACTAGGATTAAGGATTGCTTAAAATTTAGTGGATAAAACATATTGGGAAGATAAGGTATCAATTAAAAGCTTCTAATGTGACAAAACAAAGAAAACTGACATACTTGTTGGACCACTAATTGAGACGTTCAATATATTCCATACCAAAGTTTCTAATGCTACTGTAGTAGAAACACGTGGAAAACGATGGTCAGTAACAATAATCTAACCAGCGAAATATCCTAGAATGATATATAACTAATACAGTCATTACATATCGACAGGCTTAAAGAAATAACTCCAGATTGTTAAATAAACGAAGAACACATATCTAGAAGAAAAATGACCTAATTCTTTAGGAGCCGATCTTACGCTGAGCTTTTGGTTGCTAGAAGAACTTCTTAAAAAATTCTAAAAGAAATACTTGAGAAAATAATTTTATTAGACATGTTTGTAACATGAATTAATATAATGTGACAAAAACTGGAAACATTTGAAAAGTAGACTATAAGGGAATGTGGAAAAGTTTGTAAAAAAAGGCAAAAAATTATAACTACGTATGTTAATGTTTGATATGTCTATATTTGTCTGACTTTACTACTTTCCAATGCCTAATTTTATAATATTTTTGTTGTTATCTTTCGAAGATGCTTTTAAATCCATTTGTATTTCCTCCAAAGTCTTGCCTTTAGTGTCAGGAATAATATACAAGGACATTATAGCTGATCCAATGCCACAGAGCGCAAAAAAGGCGAAGGGAGCAAAAGTTCCCAAAGCACTATTTAAAATATTGAACAATAAGTTTACAAAAGATACTCCTCCTCCCAAGGCAACCATCATAATAATCATAGCCTTTGACTTTATACTAACCGAGAACAATTCTCCCATCATTAGGGTTGGTATGATTGCTAAGCCATAGGACCATCCTATTTGGAATGTAATGAGGCAGGTTAATGGCAACCAAGACACAGAGTCTAGATCTGCGTTAGGGACAAATTCATCGAAGTAGAAATAAGAAGCCAGTGTGCATTGAACCATGCTGCAAAGGACTGATGAGGATGCATACAATACTTTCCTGCTAAACCTGTCAACTATGAAACTGATTACGAAAATGTTAAAAACTACACAAAGACCGGTAAAAATAATGGAGGCGATTTCCGGGCTTACATTTCCTCCAGCTTTCTTTATAATATATTGATTATATTGAGTTAATATTGCTGATCCACTAAATGTTTGGGTTATTCTTAAAAATAGAGCAATTGTAAGAGCCTTTCTGTTGCTTTTAATACAAAACAAATCTTTCCAATTACCAGTCTCTGACATCTGTCTGTCAACATCCTTTTTGAGCATTAAAAAATCCTTATCAACATTTGTTTTTCTGGTCAAAAACCTCAACGACTTCTTAGCAGACTCTTCATCTCCATTTATAATAAAAAAGAAAGGTGACTCTGGCATGAAATAAAAAACTACGGAAAACAAAACTGAAATAGAAGTGAATATACAAGAAGCTGTTAATATATCACAGTAACTTCCAGCAACATTGATAAAGAACTGTCCGGCATAAATAACTGAAGTGAGACTATTGCCCCATACTCCCCTAACCTGCGGTGACGCCACTTCTCCTATGTAAGCCGGCAGGGCTGACCAAACTATCGCACTCGCCAGACCAGCAAACACTCTGCCGATATAGAAGACATAGATACTTCTCGCGAATCCGCAAATCAACAGCGACAATATTTGAGGTACGCCTATCAGTAACATAGTCTTTTTTCTTCCTATTATATTAGTCAATTTTGAAAAGAAGTAGCCGGTGAGTACCATAGTCAAGGCACAGTATAGTGCTTTAAGAGAATCAGTAGGTTCACTCTCGCATTTTCACGGTTCCAATTTGGAATCCACTCCTAGGACCAAGCCACACCGTACGCAATGGATTTGGCGAAAATTGTCGCTGTTGCAAGATTTAAAATATTCTATCAGTTTCAAAGATTATTCCAAATTTATAATAAAATAATTATTATAGAAGTTCTTTAAAAAGAGGAAAATAAATTTCATAAATGGTAAAATTCTTCACATACCCACTATACACACTTCTAAAGTTTGAAAAATCATATTGCCTAATTGACTTAATCTATTCTCAAATAATTAATCATAAGTATCTATCCATTGATTGATTACATTTGGCAACATTGATTTTACTTGTGTTTATGCTGTGAAACTACAGTTATTTCAGTAATTTATATATAAATTTAATTTATTTGTTGTTATATAGTTGGTTTTATAAGTTTATTTTGTATTTAATACATATTACTGTGATATTTCTCCAGTTTTCTAAGTGGTTTTATTATTTTAAACAACGGATTCTGATGAATTCATCCAAATCAAAAAGCATGTTAGGATTCGATCTATTAATTTTGTACTCAGCCTGAGACCTTCTTTAAGTCAATAAATCAAAATTTGTCTTAAAGGAAATCTATTTTTATATATCATAGTGTATATCATATCATATCATATCTTGTATGTCGCTATATGTTCATTAATATTGAAAATACTGCGTAGTGGACTTGTTAATTTTTTCTGAATATATTCGTTATATCCTCCCCTTTCATTTGCCATATCGCATGTTAGGATTCAATCAGTTGTTTATTTTGTATTGAACCTGAGGCCTTCTTTAACTCAAAAAATCAAAATTTGTCTTATGGTAAATATATTTTTATTCATAGTATCCTATCATATCTCGTATGTCGTTATACTTTCATTCATATTGAAGATACTGCGTAGTGCCCTTTTAGTAGTCGCCTTGTTTATTTTTTCTATCTGAATATATTCGTTATATACTCCCCTTTCATTTGACATGTCGCATGTTAGGATTCAATCAGTTGTTAATTTTGTACTGAACCTGAGGCCTTCTTTAAGTCCAAAAATCAAATTTTGTCTTATGGTAAATATATGTTTATTCATAGTACCCTATCATATCTCGTATGTCGCTATACGTTCATTAATATTGAATATACTGTGTAGTGCCCTTTCATTTAACGTATCACACGCTCCAATGCCGAAATGTGAATTTTTTCTGTCTCAGCAGCATTTTTACAGCTTTTACTTAATTATATTTAATTTTGGTAGATGTGTTATTGTGGTAGACTGTTGGTAGTAGAATAGATTCTCAAAATTTTAAATGTACGTAAAAATATGAGCTTGACTAACTACGTTATGAACGTAGTGATCCTACAGTGGGAACTTTATGCTATATGACATTTTTTCAGTTCATTATTTTGTTATTAATAAGTTGTACAGTAAAACCTCCCTTAACCGAAACCGTTTTAACCGAAACATCGTTTAACCGAAACGGATTCAGTTCAGTTTCAATAATTTCGTCAATAAAAAATAAATTTTTATCGCAAAACGTAAACAAAACCATTAATTTCACTCACCGATTGTTGCCTGTGTGTGTTGGGAAATCGAAAAAACCAAGAGCTCTAAAATATATTTCCGAAAAAGCACTTCCAGTTTTTTATAAAAGCCAAAAAAGCTCATGGATGTAGACCACTTTATTTTTAGAATAGTTGGAAAATGAATTCGTCCCAAGTGTAAAATCCTTTTTAAAATCAAAAAATCTTTTAATCAAAGCATTGTTGCTTGTTGACAATGCGCCAACTCACCTTCAAAATCTACAAAATGGTGACAATTGTCAGATTTTTGCCACCGAATGTCACGAGCTTAATTCAGCCGTTGGACCAGGGAGTAATAGAAACATTCAAGAGACATTATAGAGGAGCATTCTTAAGACATCTGTTATTACAGGAGATGAATGAATCCAAAAGTGTTCCCGAAATTCACAAATGTTTAACAATGAAACATGTTGTTTATTGGTATATGTACTATATCGTTCTTCATCCAGACAACATCAGATGACGACCCAACTGCCAGACAACAGGCAGCACGAGACCGCGACGAGATTTTCAATGCCTTAGAGATATTTCTAGGTTCTTAATTTTTGTTGTCGTTGCATAAAGTTTTTTCCTTTTTAGATTGCTTTACGTTTCGTCCAACAATCAAATGGGGCAAACTATGGCGTTCTGCAAATGAACGATGGAGAGATATAGCTCCAAAACATTATTGTCGAATGAAAACGCAAAAGAAAATAGAAGATCTTTAACAAAGCATGTTAAACTTGTTTATTTTCTTTTATTTTATTATTTTATTCTGTATTTACTTATAAGAAAACATTACGAAATCACCTAAGAGTATTTATTAATACTAATACTTTGACCAAATATACTATAAAAAACTGTTATTTTTAACCGAAATTCTTGTTATCCGAAACGACTTCCCCCCCCCCCCCAATTATTTCGGTTAATGGAGGTTTTACTGTAATTGTGAAAATATATATATTCTATTCTAACTTGTATTCATAGTTTGCTACTTGTTTTTTTTATAATCCTATTTTTATTATAACTGGTATTGTAAAATTCAAATCCTCAAAATATAACTAATAATTCGATCGTATTATTATTTTTTCATCTACAGAAATTAGTTTCCTCATTAGCTCTTCCTTTTATGAGATTTCTCACCAGTAACAGTGAATACAGCGTGATTTTCTAATGAATACAAAAAATTTAATATTCGATTAATCAAAACTGATGGATTCAACATAAAACATTTTGAAGGACAAACAGTAATAATTATTTGGACACTATTGATAATTGTCGAAAACGCTAAATTTAGGAAAGTATTCATTATTCCGAAAATCTAATTAAATTTTAGATCGCCACAAGTCACACTTTTCCTATTTATTTTCGAGCAGTATATTAAAAATTATATTGAGCAGTGTATCAAAAACTGGAATTTATCTGCGTGTGGGACTAATGCGCGTGAAAAAAATGGAACATGAAGAACAAAGGATTGGCGGTAGAGTGAACCTACTGATTCTTTTTAAAGCACTATACTGTGGTCAAGGGCTGCACAATTGTCAGATTGTTTGCCTCGCTCTCAGAAATATCGTAGTGTTCTTTGTCGTTTACTAGTTTCACTAGGAAAGGTGATGTCCAGGCATACAATACTCCATCGTTGAAAGCACCCAAACAGGCTAAAAATATAAAAAATACAAATATTAACATACTTATATTAAAATTTTTTAACAAAAATCTTATTTAATGGAAGATTAAAAAAATATATTTAAGTTGCTAACATATTTATTATAAGATATTTAATTATAAACTAAATGAGATGGAAAGAAATATGGATGTAGAACAAGAATACAATAACCTCAAAATGATAATAAAAAAAAATTGCTTATGAAGTATTAGGAACAGAGAACAACGACAAAAAACACCACGAACCACCATGGATGACAGAAAACGTAAAAGAAATGATACAAGAAAAGAACAAATTATATAAAAAATGGCTAACAAATAAAACATCTAGCAATAGAGTATCATATCAAATGAAAAACGGAGAAGTACGCCAGCAAATAAAAGAAGCAAAAAACAATTTCTGGGAACAAAAATGTGTCCAAGTTGAAAATTTAATGGGTGGTTCTCAGACAACGGAAGCATGGAGAACTATCACTAATCTAAAGAAGAACACCCATAACTCATTAAGCAACTTAATTTCTATAGAAAAATGGGAAAATCACTATAAAAATTTACTCCAAGAGTCCAGATTGGAATATATGGGAGAAGAATACAGTATGGAGAGACAAACAAATAGTAACATTAATACTACCAGCAACGAGGTCCGTACTGCGCTAATTAAAATGAAAAACGGGCGATCTTCAGGACCTGGCAATATAGCTGTAGAGTTACCAAATTAAAATACCATCTGAATGGAAAACCGCTCACCAAGTGTCCATCTTTAAAAAGGGTAATCGAAAAGATCCTAACTGCTACAGAGGATTGAGTGTCCTACCTACTTTCGGCAGATTGTTTGGAAAGATAATAAATAGAAAAATACAAGATGATGTAGGACATCTAATTAGCGAAGACCAAAGCGGATTTACGCCTGGTAGATCTTGCACTGATAACTTGTTTATACTCCAACAATTAATAGAAAAAAGAATAGCGGTTGGTAACGAAGTACATCTAGCCTTCATCGATCTAGAAAAAGCGTATGATACAGTACCAAGGCCTAAATTGTGGCAAGCTTTACAACAACTCGGCATTAGTCCACACCTTTTAGGAATAATCACAGAAGTATACAGGGATAACACCACTTACCTAAAAATCGGAAATAGACTATCAGAGCCGATAAAAGTAACTAAAGGACTGAGACAAGGATGCAGTATGTCACCTTTACTGTTTAATTTATATATTGAGGCAGCCCTTCAAAATTGGAAAAACCACTGCCAGGGAATGGGAATCCCAATAGGAAATGACGTACTGTTCTCCCTGAACTTTGCGGATGACCAAGTCGTTCTAGCTCAAGATTCTTATGATCTAGAATTTATGATAAAGCGTCTATACAGAGAATATGTAAAATGGGGGTTAAAAGTCAGCATGAAGAAAACAGAATATCTAGTTATCAATTCAGATACAAGGTTTGAAGTGTTGATAGACGAGGACGTGGAAATCACACAAGTGGAAAAATTTAAATATTTAGGTGCATTCATTGATAAGAACGGCTTGGGTGAAACCGAAATTAAACACCGAATTAATCAGGGATGTAAAATTATAGGATGTTTGAACTCCTTATGGTGGGATCGCAACATTTCCAAAAGGAACAAAAAAAGAATAGGGCAAACGATGGTTGAATCAGTTCTTTGTTATGGCTCTGAAGTATGGACAATTAATGCAGACCTGAAAAGAAGATTGTTGGCAGTTGAAATGGATTATTTGAGAAGAAGTGCTAGAACATCAAGGCTGGAAAGGAAAACCAACGAATCTATAAGAAATCAGATGAATGCTACAGATACGGTCATAGACAGAATAGAAAGAAGAGGTTTAAAATGGTTTGGACACCTGTTAAGAATGCCTGACGAACGTTGGCCCCAAAAACTTCACAGATGGAAGCCCCCTGGTAGAAGAAAAAGAGGTAGACCTCGACGCTCATGGAATGAAGTTATTAGAAGAGGAATGGAATCGAGAGGTTTGGAGGAGGAGCATGCCTTGGACCGAGAGGATTGGCGGAGGAGGACGGGAATACGGCGATAGCCGTCTCCAAGATGTATTCTATTTACAAATTGGATTCTGTAATATATATACATATATATACATATATATATAATATATATATATATATATATATATATATATATATATATATATATATATATACGGGTGGTGAATCGTCAAACGGACCATAGGAAACTCAATGAGAAATTTTAAATTGTTGAATTGCTGCTTCCCTAATTATTTTAGATCAAAAGTCATAAAAAACTATTTGTAGAGGACTAAAATCTGAATTAAAAACAAATGTTAAAACCGTTCTACGACTCAAATGTACTTCAAAATTTTTAAAAATATAATACATTTTTCAGGCCACCCCTAAAAGTTAGGCCACACGTAATGCAAGAATATATATTAGGACGTTTGTGTTTTATCATATTTATGTCAGATGTTTGACAATTTGAATTGTCAATTTTTTTATTTTATGATTAAATTATAAACAATGAATTTTACTAAATACTACTACTAATGAACATTATTACTTTGTGAACAATAAATTATATTGTTTACAAATCGATCAATATAATGAAATGTACTCAGTTGACGAAAAATCGCATAATGTTGTATTCAGGCAATAGCGCGAACCTTTTCCTGCCACTACCGGATCTTTATTTAACGTAAGATATTCTAATTCACTAAAATTTAATTCCATGTTAAGTTATACAACAATTCAATGAATTCCAATATACTGTTACTGTGATCTTTATTCCTAATAATAATATATGATAATTTCTAAACATAAAACTATAACAAATGTTATAATAAAACATGAATAAAACATTTTTATTATTGCTTTTTTCTTCTCAACTGAGTACATTTTTTAATCAACTTAATTTTTTTTTAACAATAAATCACAAAATTTTGGCCATTTAAATCATAGATAAATGTAATATAATTGATTTAAATATTGTCAAATATCAGAAACAATATTATGACAAAACGCAACACGTAATACACATTTTTTCACAGAAAAATGTATTATATTTTAGCAAAATTTTGGAATACGTTTAAGTCGTAGAATAATTTTAACAGTTGTTTTCGATACATATTTGAGTCCTCTACAAATAGTTTCCCATGACTTTTGGTGTAAAATAATTAGGGAAGCAGGAATTCAACAATTTAGAATTTCCCATTGAGTTTCCTATGGTCCGTTTGACGATTCACCACCCTGTATATATATATATATATATATATATATAATATATATATATATATATATGTCTAGTAGACACCATTTGATTGAATTTTATCTATGAGAAAAAGGCACAAGATCAAATAAACGAAACACTCATCAGAAATCATAAAAAGTAAGAAGCCATACAAAAAACATAACCAGAAATCGTAAAAGAAAGTTCAAACTTGACTGAGAATTTAGCTTTTATGTATATATCCATGCAGATGACTAGAATTTGGGGTGCAAAATTAACTGAACACTCAAATTTTTGTTTTTCGTTAGTGTTTAGATCAGAACTTGTTTAATTTATTTGAATTGCATTTTATGCATTATTAGCGGTAACGTTTTTTTCTACTTTGAACCTGTTTTAGAGGTTTTGTGCGAAGAGCAAAAGTTTTACACATACGTTTTGTTAATTACATTAATGTGAAATAATGGCTTAGTATTAATTTAAGTTTATTCTAGTACTGTACGTGATTAAAAGTTCAGCTGTGGATTTTTGTATTGTGTCCTGTTTAAATCTTGCATTAAAAAATTATGACACCACGAGAAGTAGCACAAGCTGTTGCTTTACAGAATGATGGGCGGAGCATTCGTTACGTGGCAATTTTTTTCTGGAATTTCGGGAAACAGTACAGCACAACAGGAGGTCAGGTCAAGGTAGACGAAGAACCACAAGTCAAGTTGAAGATCGCTTTCTTAGGTAACGATCGTACATTATAACCACCAGTACTTATTAAACGATTGAATGATGTCTAACACAATTTCCATTTATATCGTTCGAAGACACTTAAATGAATGTGGATTAAGTCCAGAATACCTGTCACGGCACGTCTATTAACAGGAGATCGTCAGGGGCAACGTTTACGCTTCGCTAGCGAACAACTTAATTGGGGTTTTGACGATTGGAGTGCTGTGCTTTTCACGGATGAATCAAGATGTAACAGATACTCATCAGATGGTCGGTCTGGAATATGGAAAAGAGCTGGTGAACGTTATCAGCAATGTTGTTTTACTCCGACAGTTCAATTTGGTGGAGGTGGGATAATGGTGTGGGCAGTCATTTCATTAGAGGCTCATACAGACTTGTTACAATTCAAGGGGGCAATTTGAACGATCAACGGTATATTCAGCTATGTTTGGAAGATCATGTAGTGCCATTTGCCCCATTTGTTAGAGAAAAGTTTCATCTGATGAAAGGTAATGCTCGTCCGCACATCGCAAGAATAACACGTGATTAATTGGAAAAAGTTGGGATTCATTTATTACCATGGCCCCCAGGGAGTACAGACTTAAATCCAATAGATTATGCATGTGATATCCTGGGACGACGTATTCGACGTAACCATGGTGAGTTTGGAACTATAAATGATTTGGAGCAAGCAGTTCGTGACGAATGGGAGCAAATACCTCAAACAGACTTAGCTGCCTTAATCTGAAATATGCCTGATCGAATGAGACCCATAATTAGGGCTCATGGAGGTAATAAAAAAACATAAAAAACATCGAAGCTTTCGAGATGTGGTGCTATAGGCGCATTCTCAGAATATCATGGATGGACCGCGTCACTAACACGCAAGTACTCCAAACTTTAGACAAAATATGCGAAATTCTAAATTAGATAAAAACTAGAAAGATGGAATACTTGGGGCACATTGTGAGAGATGAAAAGTACGAACTTTTAAGAAACATCATGCAGGGCAAAATTAAGGGCAAAAGAAGTGTAGGAAGAAGAAAAATATCGTGGCTTCGTAATCTACGTGAATGGTTCGGGTGTAGTTCGATTTCCAATCTCCGCTAGGAGTGGCACGAGAAAAAGAAGAAGGAGGTAATAAACTGTGCTAAATATCGCTTTCCATAAAAAATGTTTATATTTACAAAAAAAATTGTTTCTTTGCAGATTTTCAAATTTTTTTAATTGTCTATTGTTTTTTCTGTGTAACATTCTTAATTTGTAATAAATTTGATTTTTAAATTTTGTTTATTATTTAATACTCAATTGGGAACATCTTAAATTGAAAATTTTGAGTGTCCAGTTAATTTTGCACCCCAGTCTAATTAGGTATAGCACGTCAGAATCAGACGAATATATGTTAAACAAATGAATACTTAAACAAACAATAGATAATAAAAAGTTGGATGTTTCTTACCTGCCAAAATTGCTACAATCTGCGGCCAAACACAACCCACTTCGGACTCGGTCTCATTGTTCTTTGGTTTTTCACAAGTCTTCACTATGCCCTTCGTCATTTTGCTACTAAACTACCACCTTCTGCCATTCGGTATATTACTTTGCAGCAATGGTCTGCAGTACAATAGCTTTCCATTCTGTGGCGACAGAAAACCTTAGGTTTGTTTTTATACTATACTCGTATTGGATATTTACTTATGGATCATTAAATTAAATAGTTGCTAAGCATTAGAGATATTCCACAACGTATTTAGACTTCTGTATTCTTATGTATTAATTATAAGAAAATATGCTGATAAAGATAAACATTTGTCAAAAATATGTAAATACTCGTATTAAAGGAGAAAATAAGTTGAATACTATCTACGTAAACCGTTTATATAAGGCGTGATTATTGTAAATATTTCATAATAAGAATATATTTTTACGAATCCACTTTATGAGCTTAAGTCACTAAAATAATTATATTAAGTATTGACTCCTATTAAGTATTTACTACTAAGAAAATAGACCTACTCAAAAATATCATATTGAAGTAATCTACACATATAATCTGTTTGGATTTCATCTGTAGTTGCATCAGATCATCAGATGATAATGTGACAGCTCGAAAATAACTTTATGCGCAAATAAATATAGAAGTTAGAGAATGTAAAGTATAAGCACAGTATAAAGAGGTTCCACAGTAAAACTACTCGTCTGTCGGCACTTTGATCTCAGGAAGTAATACCGGCAAAGTACGAAATTGGTAATCCAACACCGTTAACCTTACAGAGCCGTATTAAAATTTTCTGAGCCTACTACTATTAATTTATTTAAATAAAAAATGCAGCTTCCCATCTTTAACTGTCCAGATGTTCTCACTAAATGTTAATATTACAAAAACAAAGGGTTTAATAAATTAAAAACAATATTATAATTCATTGTTTATATTTTTCAACGGTATTTTAAATATCAACGGTATTGCGCAAGTTTTAAAATCTCAATGGTTTTTAATATATTGTACATGTCATATTAAAATTTGAGAATGTATTTAGTGTCCGTAGTTATATAAACCCAAACAACACGTTTTAAAGCTAATTATGTTTCCAAATTATTTATTTCCTATGTCCTTTTGTCTTAGATACTTTAAAATTTCTATTAATTATTTTTAATGTGTAATATATTCTTATTCTAGCCTATAATCTAATGAGATAGCCCTTTGGAAAATTGCTGCAAGGATGCGTATATGGTATTTTTTCGAATAAGCTAACGTAGTTTTGTAAGATTTTCGGTTGATGACTAAAATTTTGAAAATTCTCTTGAAAAATAATTTCCAAATCTGTAACATACTGCACAAAATTTTGGCTCGGCATATAGAGCTTGCCAAAAACATTTGTTTCATTACCACTGTAGGCTTTAACGTAACAAAACAGAGACGAATCGTGTAGTTCATCGTACTCTCTCCCATATGCTTCACAGATTAGACAAACATGTTTCCTAAGACTTGTGAATATATATATATATATTATATATATATAATATATATATATATATATAATATATATATATATATATATATATATATATATTTATAAATTACAGAAGTTTTTCTGTAATTTATTTGAAGTTTGATATTTTTGGTCATCCAAAGTATTTTCAGGAACCAAAGCAGTGGTTTCAGGCAGATAATCATCGTCGGTACATATATCGGTTAAATTTAACAAAATATGGCCTGCATCTCTTTCGCAATTTTCTGTACCGGAATGCATCATGTCTAAACAAAAAATATCTTTTGAATGCTGCGGTAAATTATACCGGAGTAGGGTTAACACAATTGCCACCTTGCTGCCTGATTGAACCAAAAAAGGTTTCTAGCCAATCTTGATTCATCCGCCTTGTTAAAAAATAATCCATTCCATGTTACTGTAGTAGATTCCACAAATGAATCACTCCATTAATGGTTATTTTCCAACCATTAACATATTTTATTCTTGGTGTTACATTTTTAGCTTTAAAATTAATTACCTGTAAATTATTAAACAATCGGAAACACGCATTAAGAAATTCATGCTAAGCATCGGTTCATCTATACGGTCTTTGGTACTCAGTTGCTCCTCTTAATGAAGAAGAATTGAGCATATCAAATAAATTATTAATGTTCCTAATAAATCTTTCGGTTGTTGTTGCTTCCTCGACGAATACAATAAATCTAATATACAGATGCAGACCGGCAGCAACAGTGTTACTAAATATCTGAGAAGCATATTTCACTTTCATATTTTCAAAATTGTTAGGAGATATATGTAATTCGGTCAATTTTGGCGCTGTACGTATAGGATATTGTTTATCATGTTCGTAAAATTTTTTAATATATTCCCAAGAAACGATAATATCATCAATAACAAATTTGTTTCTTAGGAAGTTATTATGAAGTGCTCTTAATAAATGAGGTGTATCAAAAGAAAAGACAATTTTATTATTTTCATGATAAAAATATGGTCTATCGGCAGATATATTTAACAAATTTGGAAGTTTAAGACTATTAATACCACTTCGAATTTTACTCATGTTCAACTTCACAATACTAACAATTATTCACAAAACTAACTCAGTTTAAACAAAATACGGCACTGTTAACCCGTACGTTTCTACGCGACTAGCAACGGAAGAATGGTTCTCGAGCGACTAAGAAATAAGCGCAGTCGCTCTGCGCTTTGACAGACTTTACTTCCAATTTTTCAGAGAGTGGTTCTACTGTGGAACCTCTCTTTATACTGTGGTATAAGCGCGTAGGAACTGCCGATTCCATAAGCGATAGTCACAAAACTCTCATTAAATTAAAGGACTGTTTCCTGATAAACATAAGGAGTGACAATAAAATTTATCATTAGAATATTTAAGGCAATTTAATAAATTTTTAAATAACAATAATTTGCCGTTCTTGTATAGACAATGTGTTCTCCCTAAAACAAATAATAGAAAAGCGTTTGGAACATAATACGGAGACACACATGGTATTTATTGATATCAAAAAGCGTATGACAGTGTCCCATTAGCCAAGCTATGGCAGGTGCTAGAAGACAAGAATATTCCACCGATTTACATTAATGCTGTAAGGGAGTTGTACGATGACATGACGAGTGTAATAAAGATTGGACAAAAAGTGACAAAAAAGATAAAAGTGGCCAAAGGACTTCGCCAAGGCTGCTGCATTGCACCTACACTCTTTAAGATTTATTTGGAGGTGGTTTTAGATATTTGGAAAAGAAAATGTGGACCTATGGGTGTTAAAATGGAGACCATACACTGTACAGCTTGCATTTTGCTGATGACCAAGTAATACTTGCAGAAGATCAAGATAATATCCACTACATGTTACGAAAAATAGATGAAGAATATACTAAGTGGGGCTTATCAATTAATCCATCAAAAACAGAGTACGTAGTAGTGAGAGGTGAAGGAAAGCACTTAGAACTAGGAAGCAAACAAATTCAAAATACTAATAGCTATAAATATCTCGGTGTAAACATTACAAACAACGGTCGGAATACAGAAGAAATAGCTACTAGAATTGGTCAAGGAAATTTAGCAATACGTCAACTATAGTTTATTCGTCTTCCGGGTTTGGACCGTGTCATTTGTGAGTGGCCCAAAAGTGGGTTCATCTCGACGTTTCGCTACAATTGTATGTAGCTTCGTCAGGAGAACAAAGAAAAAAAATCAAAAGACAGGAAGATGGGTAGTTAGCAACGGTAACTCAGTTACTCAACGCAACCAGAGGCGAATACTAACTACCAAGATGGGCATTTGGTCACAGTAACTCAACTACTTAACGCAGCCAGAGGTTTTCACCTCTGGCTGCGTTAAGTAGTTGAGTTACTCTGTGCAATCCGGCTTTTGCGGATTGATTGATCGGTGAATATCTTTATTTAATTTCTTCATTGTTGTGTAGTTGGAACCGTATTTTTCCATCAGCTGTCTTCTTTTACCTATTAGCTGTTAGATATTTTGGCTTAGTTTTCCTTTATGGGTCAGAACAGTCGGCAGCACTCCCTTTCTGTTTCTTGTAGAGCCTTATGTTATAATTTGCTTGATTTACATCTTCTACTTGATCTTGAAAGTCTTGTATATGCCTGGTTAGTATATCTTCATATATGTCGTTGTTTCCTGGGGAAATCCATTTCTTTTTTCTTTTTTTAGAATCATTTTTGTTCTTTCCAATTTAATATTTAATAGTATCTTCACTAGGATTAATCTGTGATCGCTTCCTATTGAAAATTTGTTGCGTACGTCGATGTCTTCGATTATTTCTGTTTTTTATGATATAATCTATTTAATTTTTGATACTGTCATCTGGGCTGATCCATATACATTTACGCTGAGGCTTTTTTTCGAAAAAAGAGTTCATCATGGATCAATTTTCCTGGTGTAAGAAGTTCAGCAATCTTTGCCCTCGTACATTTCTTTCGCCATATCCATACTTACCCATCGCTACTTCTGCTTCATCTTGTTTTGTAGCATTTGCAATTTCATTGATTCTTTGGTATATATTGAAATCCCCTCGTATATGTAATATATTGAAATCCCCTCATATATGTTTGAAAATTCAAAGAGTATTTTTAATGCATTTCAGTTTCCTATTCGTACGTTTTAAAACCCAAATAATATTTCCAAAGTAATAAAAACCATTTTAGAGTTGTTTATTATTTTAAAGATGTATACTTTCTCGGCATTTTCTTTTAATGTTTTATTCGAAGTCGCCTTATAATTTTTGTACGTCGTAGAAATAGAATCTTCTGCATTTTAATTCCTGTCAAGTGTTTGTTATTTTAACTTATGCGATCAATTTTAAAAGATAATTTCTTCATTCTTACTTGGGTCTTTGTAGGCTCAGGTATGGATCCAAATTCATACGTCGAATTTGTGGTTTTCTGTTTTTCTTTTTATGGAAATATGTAGCAGTGAAAAGTAGTTTTTGTAGCAGTTGATGGTATAGTTAATTTTTTAAATGAGCATTGGAAGAATCGTCGTTTCCATCCTCGTTTTGTTTCTCCCTGGTTGTCATCCAAGGCTTTTTGGCGTTTGGAGATGGAGTTGTTCGTTACGCAGAGAGAGTGAAGCCTCCAATTCCAGTTATGATTTCGGAGGTTCCAGTGGCGTCTGGTTCCAGAAATTTTAGTGCAGTTTGCTAGTGAAAAATCCAGGTAGTTTTTTGATTAAATTTTAAAGTAAAGACAGACTTTTTTTAACAATAATTGCTTTCATTAAAATTTAAAAAATAGTAATATTAAATATTGTAAATTTTGGATTTGACTTTAGCTGTTATTTTATTTGTTTTCAGTTTTCAGTTTTTAAAATTTAATGTTAACATATGACAGCTAGCTTTAATATTTTCGATATTTATTTGTTTTTCTTTTTTGTTTAAAAAAAGGGTTAACCTCTGTGCGGTAACATTTGTAAGTTTTTTGTAGTATCTCCAATTCCTAGAGTTTGTAAATGGATGGCATATAAGTTTTTTGTATTTTTGTATGTTGCGACTATTGACGTAATCATTTTGTGTTATCTTTTTTGGGTATTCTTGTATTCTCCATGTTGTAACTGTTTGTGGTGACACAAAAATAAATGTTAAATTTTGTTTTCTTAATATTTTGTTTATTTTTTTAACTAACCCCTTTTTGAGTTTTATTTGAAAAAGATATGTTTTATAATTATTTCCCTAGTTACACCTAGTGGTTGTAATAGGTATAATTAGGCACCTCAAAGTGGCGCCCTATATTAAATTACTAGAGGTGTTTCCTGTTTATTTTTATTTTGTTTGTCCCAAAAGATTATGTTAGTACCCCTTTAGTTTCTCTTTTCTGTAGTTGCCCAATCCGATCCCTTGCCATTTACTTATCCACGACCCCAGCTCTCCAAACAAACCCTGAGTGCCGTTCGCACAAGTAACTTTTATTTTGCTTGCCCTATCTCCACCCGATAGTTTCTGCCCCCAACTTTCAGCCCTTATATTAATACCCCATGTGGTGGGCAAAACATATTCGTTACAGTTTAAACAACATTTTCGGTCAAAGCAAAAGATATTACAAGAAATTTTGGATGCGAAATATTTTTTCTTGATGTTTGCTGCCCTCCACATATCAGCCACAGTGAGCAAATGATTTAAGTAATTCGTTACTCAAAATATAGACTTAACTTGAAATGTAGAGATCAATCTTAAGATATTGGGCAAATATGACAGGAGAGTATAACAAAGTTCTGTCCAGATTACTTCAGGAGAAAGAGAGCAAATACACAGCTTACTCCCTCAATTTAGTTGACATAAAAACCTAAATAATATCTTAGAGATTTGACAAAAAAAATCAAATAATATTTACTCATTTACTTTTCAGATAGTGTAAAGTAAATATTTGAGGACGAGCCAATGACATATAAAACAAGAATCCTCTTATCAGCAAACAGACATATACTGCAAATAAAGTACTGAAAACTAAAGTTCTTTAAATGTTATTATCGGTTTATTTTTATAAAGTTATGTCATTAGTAAATCAATCAAGTATTTTACAATATAATTTTTAAACGTTTTCAATATCTGTTCAATTAAAATGGCAAATGGAATGACAAATCATTGCAAAATTTATTACCGATAAATATAGTGAAACTAAAAAGTCTTGTTACAAAGAGAACCAAACAGGCATTTTAATTAAAACATCATAGTGTGTTAAAAAATTCAAAATCAATATTAAATTCGACAGAACAGAAATATATATATATATTATATATATATATTATATATATATATATATATATATATATATATATATATATATATATATAGTCCCAAGATTCCTAAGAGGAACATAGGACTTCCACAAAGTGTCTCCAGCGAACTCTATTTCTGGCTAGTGCTTTGATTTCAAGCCAGGATTTTCCCATTTTTCTCCCTTCGTCCAGTACTGTCCTTCTCCAAGTTCCCTTAGGTCTGCCTACTTTCCGTCGGCCTTGGGGATTCCAATCCAGCGCTGTCCTGGCAATGTCATTTGGCGGTCTACGGAGTGTGTGGCCCAGCCATCTCCATTTTCTTCGCCTTATTTGCTTTATGACATTTTTTTTGGTTGCTTTGGTTCCATAAATTTTCATTGGAGATTCGGTTAGGCCAAAATATACGAAGGATTTTTCGTAACGCTCTATTGATGAAAACTTGTAATTGGTGTACTATGGGTGCTGATATCTTCCAGCAGCCATACAGTAATACAGCTTTTACATTTGCGTTGAAGATTTTTAATTTCGTTTTAGTTGGGTAAATCCTGGATTTCCATATGTTGTTAAGCATGTTGTAGGCGTTGCGAGCCTTATTTATTCTTTCATGTACATCACGCTCTGTACCCCCATTACAGTCAATTATGCTGCCCAGATATACAAATTCCGCTACTCTCTTAATTTCCTGGTCGTTGATCATAATAGGTTGGTTGTTTCTGGTACCAAATCGCATTTCTTTAGTTTTGTTGATGTTTATTTCTAGACCAACCTTCTTTGATTCTTCTTGTACTTTGTTTACTTGGAGTTGCATGTTCTGTTTTGTATGTGCTAGGAGGCATATATCATCGGCGTAATCTAGGTCTTCCAGTCTGTTTGTTAATCCCCAGTAAATTCCTCTATTAGAGTTTACCTTTGTTAGTACGGAGTCCAGTACAATGTTAAATAGTGTGGGGGATAAAACACAGTCCTGCTTTACTCCGTTTAGCATAACTATTGGGTCAGATGTTATGCCGTTGTGTAGGATTTTGCTTTCTGTGTCACTGTAGAGTTCTCTGATGAGATTTACTATTTTTTCTGGTATTCCTATTTCCTGCAGTGCTTTCCATATGGCCGTATGTGTGAGCGTGTCAAAAGCTCTCTTGAAGTCCACAAAGCACACAAAGAGAGGAGAGTTGAATTCCTGTGACTGTTTTACAATTATTCTTAGTGTGTTAATTTGGTCCACGCATGATCTGTTTGGTCTGAAACCGGCTTGTTCCTTCCTCAACGTTGGTTCTACACTGTTTGTTAGTCGGTTGTTTATAATTATTGCTGTTAATTTATTTATAGTATTCAGAAGTGTGATTCCTCTCCAGTTTTCGCAATATCTTCTGTCACCCTTTTTTGGTATCTTTATTATTAATCCCGTTTTCCATTCTTTGGGGAACTTTTCCTCTCTCCAAGCCCTTTTCAAGAGTGGTTGGATTAGCTCTGCCACTGTACCTGTGCAAGCTTTTAACAACTCTGGTGGAATATTGTCAGGGCCGGCTGCTTTGTGTGCTTTCAGTTTTTCTATGGCCATTTCTATTTCTTGCGTTGTTGGTTCGTTGGTGTTAATTCTTAGTTGGATATTGGGTATTAGGTTTTCTGCGTCTTCTGGTGGTGTTGGGACTGCACTTAGAGATTCGCTAAAATATTCATGCCATCTTTTGACTTGTTCCTGTGGCGCTGTAATATCTTCACCTGTAGCACTTTTTACAATTGGTTGGTGGGTAGTATATCTTTTATTGGCTAGTTGTTTTATGATATTATATAATTGTCTCATGTTTTGATGTTCATCGGCGACTCGCGCTTCTTCGGCAAGATTTTCTGCCCACTTTCTTTTGTCTTTCTTTGCTGCCTTCTTGACAGCTTTGTTCGCTTCTCTATAACTTTCTCTAAGTCGGTTCTTCTCTGCTGCTGTCTTGGAATTTATATATTATATTATATTTAATTATATTATATTTATATTTATGTTATTAGGTATATTTAACAATGTTAAAAATAATTGCATAGTATGTCTATGATGGCCGAAGTCAATTAGCCGGGTTAATTTTTCTACGCACATCACATAAATTTTCACTGAACAGCACTGGTTCCCTTTAAAACATGGCGGAACGCCTGCGCGAATGAGATGCGCGTACCTAATTTTCCATGGAGAGTGGGCATTCTGATTGTTTATTATTCTGTGGTAATGTAATGCGATTCTGTTCCATGTCAAGGATATATAATTTAGGTATTACTGTATATGACGTAAAATAAAAAACAAAAACAGTTTTTTGAGCCTTTTACCAGAATTTTCGGAGTTACGTCCCTATGGAACTGAATGTGCGATATGTAAAAGTATTTTCTTGAAACGCATTATATAAATCCAACAAAAATTTGAACAATTGCGTTAACTTTTATTTTAATAATAAAAAAGTAATACAAACTAGATAAAGTACCTACTTACTGCTAATATAAATATTTATTCACACAAACAATTACTTAATTACACAAAAATAATCCTTCGATTACGTATGTAAATATATACATTATTTAAATAAAGAAATAATTCTTAAATTTCAAAAAAATCTGGATTGTCCTTAAATCAATAACAGATAAATGACTTTTCACAACAAATGTCATGGAAATGAATAGATTTTAATCTATAGATCAAGTCTTAAGAGAAGAAAAATGCGAGAGGTTTCTAAATAATAAACGTGAAATAACATATTTACGGTATATTTCGAAATACAGAAGCGTGGTGAAATACAATTTTTTCAAAGTCGCTTCAAAATGGCTTCTGAAGTTCAACAAACTTTAGAATTAGTAAAACTCAATAATGATCCGCAGAACAATACATGAACAGTTTTTTCGCTGGAATAAATTGATTAGGTTGTTTATGACATTATATTATGGAATGTGATAGAGTTTGAACTCTAGAAAAAAAGGAATTCCCGAGTATTACCCTTGACAATTTAGAGGAATTATGACATCTAAGCCTAAATGGACAAATCTAAATCTGGTGAGTGCAATAAAGAAAACTAGGCATGCTATATTGGATTTATTAAATGGTGGTAAAGTCAACAATTTTATAAGAAAATCAGTGATTGGCCAAAGACTTGCTCGCTTTGGAAATATAGGGGCTCCACTGGATACATTTTTACAAAGGAAAAGCTTTTAATGCTATAAAACGAAGATAACAGACATATTTGTTGGACCATTTATTGGGACGTTCACGATATTCCATACCAAAGCTTATAATGGTACCATAGCGGAAAACGCTGTACGGTAACAACAATCTAAGCAGTGAAATATCCTAGAATGATATATAATTTTCAACGCAGCCATTACTTATCGATAGGCATCCCACATTGTTAAATAAACAAAGGATACATATCTAGAAGAAAAATTATTTAACTCTCTAGAAGATCTTAATATGCTGACTTTTCTGATTGCTTTGAGGACTTTTCAAAAAATACTAAGAAATACTTAGAGACAAATTACTATTATAATATTACTAATAGTAATTACTTTGGAATGACACAAGAAAATAGCTTCAGAACAATATTTGTAATAAAATGCAAAAAATTATAACTACTTATGTTACCTAATGTTTGATTTGTAGAGGAAGGTGGTACACAGTGAGACGCGGTACACAGCAAGACAACCAATGCGGCTCAATGTGTACCAGGGGTGGTACACACTGAGGCATGTGCAAGGTTGTTTTTAAAGTTACATAACTTTTTTAAATTAAAACTACAGGCCTTTATATTTGTGGAAGTGATATATAAAATACCAAAAATCATTATGGCTGAAGCTGTCATTTCTTATCGATGGTTAAAAAAATTATATCGCCAATAATTCATTTTTTCTCTCGCTGTGTACCTTCTTTTGAAGATGCTTTTAAATCCATTTGTATTTCCTCCAAACTCTTGCCTTTAGTCTCAGGAATAATATACAAGGACATTATAGCTGATCCAATACTACAAAATGCAAAAAAGGCGAAAGGGGCAAAAGTTCCCAAAACACTATTTAAAATATTGAACAACAAGCTCACAAAAGATACTGATCCTCCCATTTCAACCATCATAATAATCATAGCCTTTGACTTTATACTAACTGAGAACAATTCTCCCATCATTAGGGTTGGTATGATTGCTAATCCATAAGAAAATCCTATTTGGAATGTAATGAGGCAGGTTAATGGCAACCAAGACACAGAGTCTAGATCTGCGTTAGGGACAAATTGATCGAAGTAGAAATAAGAAGCCAATGTGCATAGGACTATGCTGCAAAGGGCTAATGAGGATGCATACAAGACTTTCCTGCTAAACCTGTCAACTATGAAACTAATTACGAAAATGTTAAAAACTACACAAAGACCTGTAAAAATAATGGAAGCTATTTCCGGGCTTACATTTCCTCCAGCTTTCTTTACAATATATTGATTGTATTGACTTATTATCGCTGATCCACTAAATATCTGGGTTATTCTCAAAAATGAAGCAATTGTAAGAGCCTTTCTGTTGCTTTTAATACAAAACAAATCTTTCCAATTTCCAGTCTCTGACATCTGTCTGTCAACATCCTTTTTTAGCATGAAAAAATCATTATCAACGTTTGTTTTTCTGGTCAAAAACCTCAACGACTTCTTAGCAGACTCCTCATCTCCATTCATAATAAAGAAAAAAGGTGACTCTGGCATGAAATAAAAAACTACAGAAAACAAAACTGAAACGAAAGTAAATATGCAAGAAGATGTTAATATATCACAATAGCTTCCAGCAACATTGATAAACAACTGTCCGACATAATTTCCTGAAGTAATACTATTGCCCCATACTCCCCTAACCTGCGGTGACGCCACTTCTGCGATGTACGCCGGCAGGGCTGACCAAAGTATCGCATTCGCCAGACCAGCAAACACTCGGCCGATATAGAAGACATAGATACTTCTCGCGAAGCCGCAAATCAACAGCGACAATACTTGAGGTACGCCCATCAGGAGCAAAGTCTTTTTTCTTCCTATTCTATCAGTCAGTTGTGAGAAGAAGTAACCGGTGAGTACTATAGTCAAGGGCTGCACAATTGTCAAATTGTTTGCCTCGCTCTCAGAAATGTCGTAGCGTTCTTTGTCGTTTACTAATTTTACTAGGAAAGGTGATGTCCAGGCATACAATACTCCATCGTTAAAGGCACCCAAACAGGCTAAAAATATAAAAAATAATACAAATATTAATATACCTATATTAAAATTTTTTAACGAATTATATATATATATATATATATATATATATATATATATATATATATATAAAACTGTTTTATATTTTTTCTTTTTTCTTACTCTTATATAATATATATATATATATATATAATATATATATATATATATTAGTTATTAAGTTAGTGGTTTTCTATATTTAATGAATATTAGTTAATTTAGAAGCTTGCGGGGGAAAATGGATAATAGTAAATTTGTAAACAATTTAGGTGAAGTGTACGGTCTGATGTAATAAGTAGGATTTTTGGTGAATCATATTATTTTGTTTTTTTCGGCGGGCGAACTTTTGACACCAAATTGTCTTTGTACCTGGGGTAATCGAAGGGTCAAATTTTATTATAGGAAATTTCGACACCGCGGCGTAGAGCAGGTAGGTAGGTAATTAGCGGCGATGGACATTTGCACCCAAGCAGGACAAGCGGGTTTTCCCAATATTTATTGTCACGGCGGGGGGCGTGACACTTGTGTACTTGTGACTAAATTATTTCAGTTGTAATTTATTTCTTGTTTGACGTTGACTTGTGCACGTATACGGATATTTAAAAAATGAGTTTGATAAAAAGTTCCCGTGGTCGAGATTTATTAGTGGTGGAGCATCATTCGTTCTCGAAACAGAAAGTGTTAAAAAGCGGCGAGATATTTTGGCGCTGCATCCAAAGAAACACTAAGTGTTCCGCAAAAGTGTTTACAATAGGCTGTGAGGACCTCACCATCACAAGAAGTGATTTGGTACATATCATGAAGCGATCAAAAGCTTGAAGTAAAGATGGTAACCAATGCATGTAAAAGAAAAGCCCAAGAGGACATATCGGAAAAGCCTGCCAAAATTACAAGAACTGCTGTTGCTGAGTGTGATGCCAATTTGCTGACGGTTCCTGACATAGCTAGCATAAGAAAAGACAATTACAACTGTCGTCGTAAACTGTTACCAGGTCCGTTACCAAGAAGCATATCAGAAGTCCATAACGCGGTTAGTAATTATTCTCCTAAAACCTGTCGCAATGAAAGTTTTTTGTTTTTAAATCATCCTGAATTAAATGTAATTGTATTTTCATGCGAGACAAATATTCGTTTGTTGTGTAAATTAAAAACTTTGTATATGGATGGTACATTTTCAAACAGTACCAAATATTTTCTACAATTATTTACTATACATGGCTTGGAAAATGGACATTATGTTCCTTTAGCATACTGTTTGTTAAAGGACAAATTGTCAATGACATACAAAAATTTATTTTCTTTATTAAGGTCTAAGATTTTTGAAACATTTCAATTATCATTAGAGCCAACTGAAATATTTGTGGACTTTGAAAAAGCAATTCACTGTGCTTTATTGTATATGTGGCCCAATGCAAAAATTAGTGGATGCCGTTTTCAGTTACACCAAAACTGGTTTAAAAAAATTCAAATCTTTGGGTTTGGTACAAGAATATAAGGATACAAATTCAGAAATTGGAAAATGGTTAAGGCATACGTTTGGTTTAACTTATTTAAATCCAGCAGAAGTTGAAGAATGCTTTCTTTATGATTTAATGTCATATAAACCTATAAACGCAACACTTGATATATATGCAGATTATTTACTGGAAAATTACATTTTCGATAGCGCTCTATTTCCACCACACATATGGTCTAATCAGAATCCGTCTATTGCGAGGACCACAAATGCCTGTGAATCCTTTCATTCGAGATTTAATTCTTCTTTTTATTCAACACATCCTTCTATTTTTATTTTTATTGAAAAGTTAAAAGAATTTCAAGTAGACACTTATGTCAAAATAAATAGTTTACGTATACCAGCAAAAATCAAAGATACTACTGTTAAGGCTAAATTGGCATTTTTGGAGAAAATGATGGATAAACTACGATCCCAACAAATACGTAGGTTAGATTTTATAAAAGCTGTATCTTATCATTCCTATAATAGCAAATAAATCATTGTATACAAGTATATTAACGGTAAAATGTACAAAAATTAGGTACTAGTTGTATTATATTTAGATATTATTACAGTTATAAAGAAATAAAATGCACATTACTTTTATTAAAATAAATTAATTAATTAATTATGGTATTTTATTTATGTCGCAGCTATATTTATTTGGTGTCGAATATACCTGTAAGATAAAAACGGGAATTGGGGCTGGTGTCGAAAATTGCCATTAAATTTTAGTCGCTACCTGCTTAGTGTCGAAATTTCCTACGCCCGTTTTTTTTTTTCTTCTTTTGATAAATATTGAAATCCAAGGCCTTTTAAGTAAACTGTTGGTTGTGTTTAATACGTCAGGTAATTTTTGGAAAAAACAAAAAAGTAATTGACACAAATAAGTTGGAGATGCGTTTGAAAGAAGCTGAGTTTCGGATTGGTTAGGAAGCAGAAAAAAAGTAAGAGAATGGGGGTTAGATCCGATACGAGGGGAAGAGAAGATGCTATGTGATTTGAACATCGAGAGAAAGCAGTCGAGTTTAAAAAAAGAGAATTTGTTAAAAAGTAGTGTTTTTTTTTGTGTTAAAAATAGTACGCAAATGTGGTAAGCAGAAACGAAGCCAAAAAGAACGAGAGTAATTACTTTAAGTAGAAACATATATCTTTTCTTGATATGAGCGGAAGCATATATTGTATCTTTTAGTTAGGAGTTTGGAGTAAAGAGTTTGCGCAGAGATTACTGCAGTTTTTATAATGTGTTTTAGTTTATCAACAACAGTAGACAGAACATAGAGCAGGCATATTTGGAGAATCCGGAAAGGACGTGCGATCTATTTAGGTCACAATCAAGGCAGCATTAAGTGGAGTCAGCATTTTTTGAAAACAAAAAAAGTTTTGGCTTATTTTTTTTTTTTAAGAGACATTCAGCTACGACCATATATTTAAAATTATTTCTTATTAATTAGAGAAGTCAAGTAATGAATAAATATTGATTTTGTTTTTGATTTATAAAAATTAAAATAAAAGGTCTTTGATTTGGACATAATTATATTTAATGTTTATTGATAATTAGTGGATGCTTGATTTTATGGATGAGTGATTTGAAGGATGACAATGTCAGGGTTGTTATAAAGTTCTTTGAGGGCACGTCTTTCTAAAATATTGATATTTGACGTTGGGGGTTGGGAAGTACGGAGAATTCTGGCGACATCTTGTCTGACAACTTCGGCTTGGTCGGAAGGAAGATGAGAAATGAGAACTTCTTCAGTTTGACAAATAATTTTCTCAGTTGTGATGGAAAGAGGAGTGGCACAAAAATTGAAGACTTTTGACGGAGCTTTGGTAGCTGAATCGGATATGTAAATATCTGAGAAATTGCAAAGAACAGTAGAGGCTTGTTGATTCGAAATGAGCTGTGAATTTTGCTTAGATATAAGTTGGTCTAGTTTGCGTTTCTGGGTTTTAGTTTTGTTGTTAGAAATGTGTTGGGCTTTTTGGTGAGAAAGGCGATCGAATTAAGTAGAGACTCTTCTGTACTTCGTGGAGGACGGATGGGCGGGGGAGTCCTCAACCCCGACACGGCGCGTCCCACTGGCTGATAGGGAAATATCCTACAGATATGCAGAATAGGTTTAAATAAGGTTTTACCAAATAAGCACCCGCGGACCAACTGAGCACATTGCATAGGGCAGCAGCTACGACATTACTTCATTAAGGCTCTAGCGGAATCATTTCTATTGTTAGCTTATCACATAATAACTCAACCGACCGTGATACTGCGATCAGGCAGGCAATGAGAAACCACCTGATTATATTCCCGTGACTACACTATCATGAATGTATCGAATTAGTTAGATATGATTAGCGATCCGATTAGCGATCGGCGCTCAGTTGGTTCCGGGCCAACTAGTGTTAAATGGGCTAACGGGCATGTGTTTGTAATCAACCAGACAACACATGCGAAATTAGCGCCTGAAATAAAATCAGATTTTCAGTTAAGAAAAGCAATGGGAATAGCAACCTGGAATGTTCGAGGATTATTGCAACCAGGCAAACTGCATATACTACAACGAGAAGTCGAAAGAGAGGATATAGAAATATGCGGACTTTCGGAAACCCATTGGAAAGAACGAGGATTCTTCCTAACGGCAGATCTTATTATAGAGGGAGCAAATATCACAGGAAGTAATGGTGTTGCAATTATAGTGACTAAAAAATTTCACAATATGTGTAGGATTACCAACTGATAAATGATAGACTTATATAAATAATAATTGAAGTATAGTCTTCACTCTTCATACCTCTGCATAATCTACATATAATAATTCCACAGTTTTATATTTCAACACCTGTTGGTCAGTTGGTCTTTAGTAATGCTATTACATATTAGTTTTATAGTTCCCCCATTGGCTTGAGGTTTAACTGAACTACTTGAACTATGCACATTTACACACTCTGCTTTCAATTCTGATTTAATTTTAATATTTCAATTTCATAGTCAATTTTCTTCTCGTTTTGCAGTATTGACAGTACCTGGTAGACCATTTTATTGTAGTCAACTACCCACTGTCCAATAGATCGTTTGGTCTATTTCTTTCATTCACACTTTATGTACACTTTATTTAGCCTCAAACCTAAAACCTTATTATTACAGACGGGTGTGAGTGTGAGATCTGGATTATGCAATCTAGTTTAAATCAAAATATTCTATATGTCATACTTCATCAGCTGATTTTTTCAGTAGTAGTTCTAGTTGGACCTTTGGCCAATGACAACTTATACAGAATTTTAATATTTGCTGATCACAGATCCATAACTTTGACTGCCTATCAAAGTTGTCATATGTCACATGTCACCGTATCATTTCCGCTTAGATCATTATCCCTCCAGATACTGACAGAGAATGTAGCGTAGAATCTTTAAGTAATTTTAAACTGTTTGTCCTCGTTTTAGTGTAGTGTTTTGTACAATTTTATGTCACTATTAATGTTTCCACATTCTACGCTTGCCGGATAGTTTACATTTTGACGAAGTAAGTCTAAAACGTTAATCTCAAAAACTTTTTTTCATCCATTAACTTCGAGTGTTTTATCGAAGTTAACCAATTTACTTCATCTAAAAAACGTTTTCTTGGCTTATTTCAGATGCCCCTGAAGATGCTATTTTAAGCGAAAGTACTTGGGCTAGATTTAATTAACTTGTGCTCGATAATAGCCTTATTTTCAAAGTTTATATAAATAACCTTACTAGTGAGGTGTTAGTGTAACGTGTAAACAGAACGTTATCAGCAATGTTGTTTTACTCCGATGTTCAATTTGGTGGAGGCGGTATAATGGTGAGGACAGGCATTTTCCTAGAGCCTCATACAGAACTTTTATAATTCAAAAGAGCAATTTGAAAGCTTAACGGTATATTTAGCAATGTTTAGAAGATTACGTAGTATTATTTGCTCTATTTGTTGGAGAAAACTTTTGTCTGATGCAAGATAATGCTCGTCCGCACATCGCAAGAATAACACAGGATTACTTGGATGAAGTTTGGATTCAATTATTACCATGGCCCCCACGGAGTACGCACTTAAATCCAATAGAGTATGCATGGGATATTCTGGGACGATGAATTCGACGTAACCATGGTGAGTTTGAAACCAAAAATGATTTGGAGCAAGCAGTTCCTGACAAATGGGAGCAAATGCCTCAACAAACTTTGCTGCCTTAATCCGAAATATGCCTGATCGAATGAGAGCCGTAATTAGGACTCGTGGAGGTAATACACTGTACTAAATATCGTTTTCAATAACAAATGTTTATATTTAAACAAAAATTGTTTCTTTAAGGATTTTCAATTTTTTTTAATTGTCTATTGTTTTTTCTGTATAACATTCTTAAGCTGTAATAACTTTTACTTTTAAATTTTGTTTATTATTAAATACTCAATTAGGAACATCTTAAACTTTTTTTAAACGCCAGTTTTTAGGAAAATTCTGAGTGTCCGGGTAATTTTGCACACCATTATAAGAAGGGTCAGAACTAGACGAATATATGTTTGAAAAATAAGTTAAAGGATACTTAAGCCAATAATAGATCATAAAAAGTTAGATGTTTCTTACCTGCCAAAATTGCTACAATCTGCGGCCAAACACAACCCACTTCGGACTCGGTCTCATTGTTCTTTGGTTTTTCACAAGTCTTCACTGTACGCTTCGTCATGTTGCTACTAAACTACCACCTTCTGCCATTCGGTATATTACTTTGTAGCAATGGTCTGCAGTACAATTGCTTTTATTTTATACGAGACTAGTATTGGATATTTACTCATGGATCATCAAATTAAATAGTTGCTAAGCATTAGAGATATTTTGATATTGCATTCCGCAATTTATTTAGACCTGTTTTCTTATGTATTAATTAAAAGAAAATATGCTGATAAAGATAAACATTTGTAAAAAAATTGTAAATATTGAAGTATATACATAGTTGAATAGTTGAATACTATCTACGTAAACCATTTATATAATGCGTGATTATTATAAATATTTCATAATAAGAATATATTTTTACGATTCCACTTTATTAGCTTAAGTCACTAAAAGAATCATAAGTATTTACTACTAAAATAGACCTGCTTAAAAATATCATATTTTAGTATTATACACGTATAATTTGTTTGGACTTCATGTGTAGCTGCATCAGATCATCAGATTATATTGTCGCATCACTCGAAAATAGCTTTATGTGCAAATAAATATAGAAGTTAGAGAATGTAAAGATTCAGTGTAGGAACTGTCAATTCCATAAGCCGTACTTAGTCACAAAACTTTCATTAAATTTCTGGACTGTTTCTTGATAAGCATAAGGAGTGGCATTAAAATTGATCATTATAACATTTAACGCAATTTAATGTATTCTACGGATATTTTACTCTAAGTTCATATTTATTTTATTTCAATTTTAGGAATATGTATATGTATAGAATGCCTATGTATGTCAGCTTGTTTAATTACATTTCTTTATAAATTTCTATCTTGGATCATTGCAATTTCAATCCGTTTTATCGGCATGTGCTACCTAAACGTCTTCCCCAGGTCCTGTTTGGTCCTCATTTCGCTTCTCCCAGGACCTTTGAAATCACCAATTATTCGCATTGGGTGATTAACATCTCAACTTTGAACATGCCCGAACCTGGCCTGGAACTAGGGCGTGACAGGAAAACACATAAAAAGACAATCTCAGAACGCCTATGATGTTAAAATAACTGATTGTTTAAACGATAAACTAACATCAATAAACAACACATTAATTTTAAAATACATTTTACATGTAGTGACTTAGTGGGTATGTCCTATGTTTTAATATTATTTTAATTGTGACGTCTACTTGTTAATACCGAATTTTTACATGCTTGGTAAGTCAAAGTCAAAGTTTAACTTATAAACCGTATTATGTCTGTCATAAAATGTTTTTTTAGTCAATATTACTTCTTGAAAAAGGCATGGATTTCCTGCCGAAACGTCGAAAAAAAATATATAAAAATGTCTTAGTATGAAACTAATTTTTTTTTATGAACCTAAAAAGAGAAGACCAAGAGAATCCACTATATATATATACATATATATATATATATATATATATATATATATACATATATATATATATATATATATATATATATATATATATATATATATATATACAAATAGAACGAATTTAAAACGGAACATACAATTTAATATATGTCTGTTTGAACTGCATTTGAAATAGTGGACCAATATAAAACTTGGACAAAAATAAATCCATACCTAGGTATAGACATTGTATAAAATATCGTTTAACTATCTGTCTCGCAACAGTGTTGTTTGTGTAACAATGTTGCTTGTCTAAGAAAGTTTTTAATAGTTCAGGAAATGAAGCTCGAAAAAAGTTAAAACCTCGCAATTTTTTCGTCCTGCATGAATTGAGTTGAAATTTTAACAGAAGGTAGGTGACAGCCCAAGGATCAAACTCTATATCGAACCGAAGTGCGCTGAATGGTTTTAGGAGTGAAAACTAATCCTAATTGTCAAAAATTATAAAATAACATATTAAACCTGAATATGGGTAAGATTTGGTTTTAATTAGTTAAATAATGATTGTTTTATACTTTTGATTAGAGTTTCATCATATTTCAACCCTTAAAAAGCAACCCTTGTTAGAGATTAATGTTAAAAAATTTACTAATTCTAAAAAAATCATTTCGCCTTGGATCGATTTGGATAAAAATTTGGATTTAAGCTCAATTCACCCGCTGCTTTATAGTTTATGTCATGTAGACGAACCCTGATTGTTCTTAGGGGTGAAAACTAGCCCTAATTGTCAAAAATTATAAAATATCATATTAAACCTGAATATGGGTAAAATTTGGTTTGAATTAATTAAATAATGATAGTTTCGTGCTTTTGAATAAAGTTCCATCATATTTTAACGCTTAAAAAGCGACCCTTGTTAGAGATTAATGTAAAAAAATTAGTAATGCGAAGAAAATGATTTCGCCTTGGAACGATTTGCATAAAAAATTGGAATTAAGCTTAACTCACCCTCTGCTTTATAGTTTATGTCATGCCGATGAACTCTGATTGTTATTAGGGGTGAAAACTAACCCTAATTTTCAAAAATTGTAAAATAACATTACAAATCTTAAGATGAGTGAAATTTGGTTTTGATTAGTTAAATAGTGATTTTTTTATACTTTAAAATACAATTTCATACATTTTCAACCCTTAAAAATCAATTGTTATGAGTGCTATAGGTAAAAACAATTTTTTGCCTAATTTTGCAACTTTTCAACTTTTGAAAATCACCTTTTACAACATTGCAATTGTAAAGGGTGCAGTTTATAAACTAATTTAATAGATATAAATTGAAAAAAGTAGAATTAAATACAAAAAAATTTATCAACATAAAAAGGCACCATATATTCTTATACATTTACATAAATAGTTGAAAATATTTACATTTATAGGTAAAACAATTATAATATTAATTTTATTCGACATCAATTACATCTCCATCGTGATCTATGTCATCCTCATCTTCTTCAATTATTGGTGGACTATTATTGCACCCTTCACCCGAGCACCCAGAACAAGTAAAGTTACAGTATAAACCAACTTTTCTGCACCCACATGAAACGCAGCATCCTTTTTTGCATTGGCAAAAAATAATTTTCAAAAGTTCATCGGGTGCATGTTGTTTGTTCATGCGTACGGGTAATAACAAACCATCTTTGGAATACCATCCCCAGTCTGTTGCTCTGATATTTTCATTGCCAAGCCATAAACATATGAGCAAATGTTTTATTCTGTTGTATGGGATTTCAAAATAAGAACGCTTAAAATTTCGAATGTATAACGCCCCACTACTTAATATACCGGTTTTGTAGATTATTATGCTCCAAAATGTACTGTACTATACTAATGGAATTTTCCGAAAAAAAAATTAATTGGTTTTTTAACGTATTTCCTTCATTTTTAACGATAGAGTGTTTCCTCAAAAACGATTTTGTAGGGGTTTTTAAGAGCTACAAGGATCTGTGAATTAAATCTCTTTGGAACCCTTGGTTTTTAAATGGGGTGAGTTTAAAGGGCTCGAAAAAGATGGTGCTTGATCGTAAATCGATGCTTTAAACGACTATATCTCGCCAAATATTCATCGTACAACAAATCTAAGTAAAGGAAAATTTTAGTCATTAAAAAAGCTACAATTTAGTACATTTTTATTTCTTTCATATGTTCAGGATTTTCGGGGATATTTAAAAAAAGAAGGGTAAAAAATATGAAATTGTAAATCGTTTCTCGCTTTAAGCTGTACTTTTTCTAAAACTAAGCATTTTAAATGGGTCAAACTTCTTGGACGTATTAACAATACATGTACAAAGAGAATTGCAGAAGGGTGAAGATAGATTTTAATTATAGGAGTGGTTAGGGGTTGTTTTCATCGATTTTTTCGTAAAAAAAAAATGAGGTATTGGCCTTATTTTCATCATAACTCACTCAATTTTTGAGCTAGAGTCTTTTTTTTATGATAGATTTATTTATGCTCTTTAAAAAAGGTTGCGTGAGTTTTCTTCCAAAAATGCATCATTTTCCCGATATTTGACTTTGAATCTTTCAAATTTGGCATTTGAAGAAAACCGCTGAACATTGATAGGCCGTATTTCGGTTCCTATTATATCGCAAAAACAATTTAAAAAATGAATTGTATTTGTCTTTTTAAAAGCTACAAATTTGTTCTCTACAATTTTTTGGTAAAATGCACCATTTTCGAGTTATTCGCGAAAAATCGATTAAAAACGTCGATTTTTTCGTCTAAAAGTTGTTACTTTCAATCGCGAATAACTTGAAAAATATCAGTTTTACAAAAAAAAATGTATAGAACATTTTTTGTTTATAATCACTTTTTTAATCGAAACCTGTAGTTAAAACGTAAAAAAAAAATTCACCCTCGGGATGGGGTGGCAACCACCCCCAAGGCTTTGGCGCACTTTGGTTCGATATAGATTTTGATCCTTAGACTATTACCTACCTTCTGTTAAAATTTCAAGTTAATCCACGCAGGACGATAAAATTACGAGGTGAAATGCTTCATTTCCTGGACTATAAGTGGTTTGACAGCATAATAAAATCGTAGATTTATGTGTAGCTTTAAATTTTTATGAGTTCAGAATCCAGCAGCCCGCAGAAGTATTGGGTTTTTATAATATAATTATTTGACAACCTTTTGTTGGCCAACCTCCTACAGCAGAAATGAGCCGAAATACATGATGTTTCCTATGTTCCGAATTTATTTCGTTCAATCTCCATGCTTGGGTGATAAAATAATGACTGCATTGTTCCATTGAAGAGTTTTTCCTTGGTGGATTTCCAGCCTGATGGCCTGGATAATTTTATTTCCACCTAGTTTGATCACTTCGATCACTACTCCGTTATCGCCAGGAGATTTGTTATTTTTTATTTCTAAAAGTACCGTTTTGATTTCGTATGGAGTTATTTCTGGCATTAATTCTGATCCCTGGTTTGTGATTTTGGACAGGGGGTGATCTTGCCTTTCGTCGGTGCTCTCATACATTTCGCGATAAAAGAATTCGACAACCTCAAGGATTTTTATTCTATCAGTAGTAATGTTTTCATTGTTGTTTTCTATTGTGTACATATTTTTGTTGCCTATGTTGTTAGTATTTTATCTAAAAACTTTTAAACTTTTGTTTTCTTGAATTATTTTAGTTATTTCTCTTATATTGTTTTCTCTTATATCTTTTGTTGTGTAGTTGGGACCGTATTTTTCCGTCAGCTGTCTTATTTTACCTATTAACTCTTTGAAATTTTGGCTTAGTTTTTCTTTATGGGTCAGAACGGTCGGACAACACTCCCTCTTCTTTTCTTTTAGAGCCTCCATTATGCCATCATTGGCTTGATTTACATCTTTTATTTGATGTTGCAAGTCTTGTATATGTCTGGTTAGTGTATCTTCATATAGGTAGTTGTTTTCTGGGGGAATCCATTTCTTTTTCTTATTTTTAGGATCATCTTTGTTCTTTACAATTTGACATTTAATAGTATCTTAGCTCGGATTAATCAGTGGTCGCTTCCTATTGAAAATTTGTTGAGTACTTCAATGTCTTTGATTATTTCTTTTCTGTTTGTTATGATATAATCTATTTCATTTTTGACACTGCCATCTGGGCTGATCCATATCCATTTATGCTAAGGTTTTTTATCGAAAAAAAGAGTTCATCATGGATAAATTATCCTGGTGTAAGAAGTTCAGCAATCTTCGCCCTCGTTCATTCCTTTCGTTATATCCATACTTACCCATTGCTACTTCTGCTTCATCGTGTGTTTAAACCCCATTTTCGGTCAAGACAAAAGATATTACAAGAAATTTTGGATGCGAAATATTATTCCTTGATGTTTGCTGCACTTCGGATATCAGCCACAGTGAGCAAATAATTTAAGTAATTCGTTACCTAAAAGATGGATTTAATTTGAAGAACTGTTGAGATCAATCTTAATATATTGGGCAAATATGAGTTGAGATTAGAACGAAAGATTACTTCAGGAGAACGAGCTAGCATATTTTGTCAAATATACTGCATACTCCCTCAATTTAGTTGACATAAAAACCAAAATATTTTGTATATCTTAGAGATTTGACAAAAAAATCAAATAATATTTACTCATTTACTTTTCAAATAGCGTACGTAAATATTTGGGGACAAACCAATGACGTATATAAAGCAAGAAACCTCTTATCAGCAAACAGACATATACTGCAAATAAAGTACTGAAAACTAAAGTTCTTTAAATGTTATTGTCGGTTTATTTTTATTAAGTTATGTCATTAGTAAACTAAAAGTATTTTACAATATAATTTTTAAACATTTCCAATATCTGTTAAATTAAAATGTCAAATGCAATGACAAATCATTGCAAAATTTATTACCGATATATGTAGTGAAACTAAAAAGTCCTGTTACAGCGAGAACCAAAATTTTAATTAAAAATAAATCAATAGAAAACAACATAGTGTTCTGGTGTTAGAAAATTCAAAATCAATATTAAATTCAATGCAACAGAAATACCTCAATATTCTGAACCCACAGTCCTCCAAATTATACTCTTTTACTAAATTACACAAATCTGCACACTCAAGACCTGTAGTTTCTTTTTGTATAGATCCTTCATATGAAACTTAAAAAAAACTTTTTTTGTATAAAACACCGTAGAACTAGTTAATGAAATACAAATACAGTTTGTGTTCTATCAAGTGTGACGCCTAGATATTTGGGGTTGTTGTTATGTTTGATAACTGTATCATTTAGAGTTACATTGAGAGTATCGCCCGCAAGTTGATTCGACAGGTGAAAGAGACAGGTTTCAGTTTTGCTTGTGTTAGGACGTAAGCGCCAGTTCTTAAAATAGTTAGTTAGTGTAGTTAAGTCCTCGTTTAGAGCTCGTTCTCCTGCTTCTTAACTATTTTTTTGGAAGCCAATGGCCAGGTCATCAGCATAAGCAAATTTTCTCGATTTTGCTTCAGGTATATCTGCTGTATAAAGGTTAAATAATAAAGGAGCTAGCACTGAGCCTTGAGGTAAGCCGTTGTTAAGTTTTCTAACGTTACTCTGTGCATCATTCATATATACCTGAAACAGTCTGTTAGTCAGTAGATTGTTTATCAGCTGACAAGTTTTGAGGCAAGGTATGATTTTCATCAGCTTATAAATAAGGCCCTCTCTCCACACACTGTCATAGGCAGCCGTGAGATCTATAAATGTTATGGCAGATTTTTCGCGTCTTTAAAGCCAGCTTCAATAAATGTAGTTAAGGACAGCACTTGGTCACAGCAACTTCGTCTCTCTATATATATAATTACAGCATATGTTACATATTGTAATAAAATGTATAAATTACAGCACTGGTAAGGCAATAGTCGTAACTTTCAGCAGCTATTGTCTTGCCAGCTTCGGCAAAGAAGCCACTGTCGTGTTTTTGTACCAGTGTGGACTATAAACTCAGGATACATTCCATCGAAGCCTGCTGCTTTTCCTGTTTTAATTTGGTTAAGCGCTTCGTTTATTTCATCCAATGAGAAGGCACGTGAGTATTCTGATGTTGCGGGAGTATTTGCTTTAAGTTGTTTAAGAGCTCTTTTTACGGTAGATGTATGAGTTTTCTCAGATGGAGCTCGGGAGTTCTCAATTATTCTATTGGCTATTTTATGGCTATGTAAATTGGACATTAATATTTAGTGTCATTCATTCTATCTTTAGTGTTTGAATAATATATTTGATATATATGTATATATTATTGTATTTGTATATTTGTCGTACTGTGAAAGTCCATACGCTAAATAAAATAAAAAAAAAACAACAGTTTGTGGAAATTCGATACACAATCAGTGGAAACTCGTTACCAGGTGGTTTTTTGGGTTACTGGAGTGTGCATATACCTGTCTTTAGAAATTTCTGAAACTTTTTCTGTTGCTCATCTGGATATTGTTGTTCCTAACATTGAATTTTTATGTTTAAAAATTTTTCTTAATTCACTTGTTATTCATTTGGCGTGCCTTTATCGTCCAGGTAGTACTGTCCTAGAAGATAACCAAATCTTGATCGAAAAAATGAAACTCCTTTCAAACCTTTTCTTATTTAGTGACTTCAATTTTCCTGATATCTCTTGGCCTCCAGTTGTAAGCAATGACCTGACAAATGCGAGAAACATTTTTATAAACTTTGTTCAAAGTTCTAATATACACCAATTGATTATGAATCGAACTCGTTTCAGAATAAACAATTTCCCATTTGCCATCAACGTTAGATTTGGTTTTTACTAACGATGACCAATTGCTTACAGAACCGGTGATATGCACTCCTGTGGGCAATTCTGATCATATAGTTATCACAAAAACCATACAGTTTATTACTGAATATAATCATCTTGGTGAAAATACAGTTATACATAAAATAACAAATTTTGAAAACCTCTCTCTCCAAATGCATGATGTTAAATGGCCGTTACTACTGGGAAGTCTAGAACATCCGGAAGAAGTTTATAAGCATCATTGATAATTACAAAAGACGCTCCGATGTACAAACTCCAAAAGACCAGTCATCTCATGAGCATAAGGTTCCTCGGACACCATCGATGATATTTTAGTTACCCCAAAACCCCCGAGTGACGATTTTGCACATATTTTGTATCGAATTTACACCAAACTTCAGGATCAGAGACCGTCCTGTGCCCAGGTACTTCGCACACTATGATATACTGGATATTAGTGTCCACTGATCCCAAAAAGCACCGAGTAACGAGTTTGCACTCGTTACAGAGTGGTCCGTAATGGGCACTTGGTGCCTCGGAGAACATCGGCGTCATATTGAACGTATTTCTGTCAACTATTTCCAATTTACAAATTTAACATTTTTTATAACTTCGAAATGCATTTTCCTTGTTCAGTATTGCAATTTTCATTTACACATTATCATTTTTGTTCACAAAATATCCTGACCCTCATACGAATCGAATGTAAAAAGTTTCAGATCCATGTTACTGCAAAAATTTAGTAGGTTTATTCCTTCATTGCCTCGCCTATAGGGAGATGAACTTTTTTCTAGACCTGAAGAAGTCTATAACGTTTTTGGAAATAAGTTCTTCAATTCTGTTTATAATTTCCAAAAAAAAATGAAACGAAAAGATAAAAATGTATATTTTATTAGAGTAGATAAAATATTAGATGAATCTACAGTTTATAGATATGTAACAAAATGTACCTTATTAAAAAAATATCAATCAAAATTATTTCTCAATAATTGTGGTAATCTGATTAAGAAAAACAACAATACTGTATACATAAATATTTCTAAAAACAATTAATATCCAGTCTTAATATTGGCGAAAACCCTTAACCCTTATTTTCTTCTGGAAATGCTTTTCGTTCTTTCTATAAATTTTCAATCATGATTGCTATTCCTTGACCACCTCCAATGCAGGCGGAACCAATACCATATTTAGCATTTCTGCGTCTACAAAATAAACAAAAGAACATGTATAAAAGTCTTAAAAAAATAAATAATATACAGTTACATGTAGTAGAGTAGAATAAATAAAAAAATATATATATAAAATTACGCAAACTATATAAAAGTGTTGTTTTCCGTATCTTCATTTCTTTCTACGGCCACTCTCTTGCTGGTTATATTGTTAATATCTATAATGATGTCAAGTGTACAATAGGGAACATTTTGGCCTGGGTGAAACATGAAAAATATGCAGACATGCTAGATTTTGAGCTGGTACGTCTTGAAACAAAACCAGAAAACTACGAAAAATTTGTAGAATTAAAAAATGTTTCTAGGAAAATTATTCCCAGGGAAGTATGCAACAAAATATTCCCGGGATGTCCAGCGAGTCCAATGAACTAATGAGAACATACGAAACCCTCTATGCAGCTGACCCTTTTTAGCCAAGAAACGGTTGACTGCGGAGCAGCCTATAGTAGCAAAATACCACGGAACTTTGTTAAAAAACTCTGTGAAACTCTCTTCCTGTGAAACAGGCACTAACAGGCAACTCGATAAATTTTTATAGTATATTAATTCACTTCATAGTCATATTGAATTTACAATAGAAACAGAACAAAATCAATCCATAAACTTTTTGGATTTAAAAAATAATCAGACTTAAAAACAAACATGACTTCTCCATATTTCATAAACCTACTCATACTGACACGACTATACACTATTCATCATTCCATCCAACACAACATAAACTGGCAGCCTATCATAGTATGTTACATAGATTAACAGAAATTCCGATGTCAAAATACAACTTTGAGACAGAATTAAATATCATCAAGCAAATAGTAGTAAACAACGGATACAACGAACAAACAATTAATAAAATGTTAAATCAAAAACTACCCAAGAAAACCCTGAAATTAGTATTTCCACCACCAGAGAAAAAACCCAGTACCTTCTGTTCAATTACATATACAGGCAAAATATCAACTAAAATAGCCAAATACATAAAAAAGAAAGGAATAACACCAGCTTTCCGAACAAATAACAACCTAGGCAAATATATCAAAAACAACAAGAGCCAAAATAAAAAACACTTACACAGTGGTGTGTACAAACTTAAATGTGGCGACTGCCCAAAAACTTACATCGGTCAAACTGGTAGAAACTTTAAAACAACGAATAGCAAAGCATAAAAGAGCTTTCAATGATAGAAAAACAGATTCTACATACGCACTTCACCTTCTAGATCACAATCATTCTTTTAATGACGAATTTAAAATTCTTCACATTCAAAATAAAAGCCTAAGCTATCCTTGTTAGAATATATGGAAATCAACAAATTAAAAAACACAGATATAATTCTAAATGACCAACTTGAGACAAACAGTTCTCCCCTCCTCAACCTATTTCATTAGAGACTATAAAATGTAAATGTATGCCAAAAATAGATCACTTGAGAAAGGAAATCAGCCGAAAAAGCTGTAGTGATCATCATCATCACTGGCTCGACAACCCATTTTGGGTCTTGGCCTGTTCAAGGATTCTTCTCCATTCTGACGTGTTTCGTGCTTTTTTTTCCAGTTTTTAATTTTTAATGTTGTTATATCATTTTCTATTTGTTCTACGTATCTCAGCTTCGGTCTTCCTCTTGTTCTTTTTCCTACTGGCACTTGTTTGAATATTTTGTTTGGTATTTCGCCTTCTTCCATTCTTTCCACATGTCCAATCCAACGTAGCCTTTCTATTTTAATGAATGTTATGATATCTGGATCCTGGTATATGTTGTATACTTCAAAGTTATACCTTCTCCGCCAAATCCCGTTTTCTTTTGTGCCCTTATATATGTGTCGCAAGATTTTTCTTTCAAAGGTGGCTAATAACGTTTCCTCCCTTTTAGAGAGTGTCCAGGTTTCTGAACCGTATGTGAGTACCGGTCTTATTAAGATTTTGTACATTTGGCATTTTGTTTTTCTGGAGACGTTATCTGATCTTAGTTGCCTAATTAAGCCATGGTAACATTTATTGGCAATAAATATTCTCCTCTTCACTTCCTCTGCAACGTTGTTATCAGACGTAACTAGGGATCCTAAGTATGTAAAGTTTTTTTTCTACTCTCTTACTAGTAAATTGTATATTACCTACTATTTGGATGCTAAGTAAATGCATCAGAACAGATACTGACACGTAATGACTAGCACGTAATAAAAAAAATTACGCTTCAGTTTTATAAAAATGTGTAATATCACATAAGCCTCGTAAGTCAGTTGGTCGAGTTACCATGGAAACGAATAAACAGACGGTATTTTGACAGATTAAAAATTATTAATCTGTCAGTGTAAATATAGTGGTAATTAAATTTTTATTTTTATAAACGAAAATAATGGTAGAAAAAGTATAGTACACAACTTGAGTTGTAAGCTTATTACATGCTTGTAAAATTACTGCGCTCGCCGCTACGCGGCTCGCGCGCAACTTTTTTACTCGCATGTAATAAGCTTCTTACAACTCTCGTTATGTAATATACTATTACCGCCTCAATGTTGTATTCTCCTATTGTTAAATTTGGCAGCTGCCTTATTTGTGCTTTTTTATTTGCAGGCATATATTTTGTTTTTGTCTGATTGATTTTAAGACCACTATTTTTTGCAGCTCGTTCTATTTGAGTGAATGCCTCTATCATTTCCTATTAGCTGTGTTGGTATATTAAATTCTTTCATTGCTTTTGTTAGGAATTCTCGGTTTATATTGTCATATGCGCTTTCGAAGTCTATGAAGAGATGATGTGTGTCGATGTTATATTCACTTGTTTTTTCAAGGATCTGTCGCAGAACAAATATCTGGTCTATTGTTGACTTCTGTCTACAGAAGCCACATTGGTATTTGCCAACTATTTTTTCAGCGTATGGTCTAAGTCTTTCATACATTACGTTGGACATTATTTTGTATGCCGCATTCAACAGCGTGATTCCACGGTAGTTTTCACATTCTAACTGGTTTCCTTTTTTATGTAGTGGTACAATAATGCCGCTATTCCACTCCTTTGGTAGCTGTTTATTCAACCATATCTTTCTTATCAGCTCATGTATGGCTTTAAGTAATGCGTCTCCTCCTTCTTTCAGTAGCTCCGATGATATTTGATCCGATCCCGGTGATTTATTGTTCTTTAATTTGTCCACTGCTGTTCTAATCTCTGCTATTGTTGGTGGACTCTTTTCTCTGTTGTCTGCTTGGTCTAATGGTATATCAGGGTTCATCTCCGTCCTATTCACCCCAAGCTTTTCCTTAAAATGTTCTGTCCATCTTCTAAGTATCTCTTGCTGTTCTGTCAATATATTACCCTCCTTATCTTTACACATCCTTGTTCTCGGTTTGAACTCTTTTCTGCTTTTGTTGAGTTTCTGGTAAAATTTTCTTGTCTCTGTTGGTTTACTTAGTTCTTGTAGTTCTTGAAGTTCTTCGTTGATATATTCTCTCTTCTTTCTTCGGTGAATTTTCTTTTCTTCTTTACGTAGTTGTTTATATTCTTCCTCTGCTTGTCGGGTTCTGTGCCTCTGTTGCGTCTGTAGATATGCTCTGTTTTTTCTTTCTGTTATAGTTTGACATTCTTCGTCAAACCAGTGATTCGTTCTTATTCTTCTTTCTTTACCTTCCATGCCCAACACTTCTTTAGCTGTTTCTTTTATGATTTCTCTGCACTCTGTAGTGATAAGTTAAAATAAATTTTGTGTAAGTTTGAAAACAAAGTTTTCAGTGTTTTATTATTACATAAAATGAATTTCCATCAAATTACGGTCGAATCCATCAATTATTTACAAAATTAAGTTGCCGTTTATATTAGACATCGTTTTAGGTCACATCAGCGGTTGGGCCAAATTTTTTTGGAAGTCTATGGTTATGGCTTCGGTATCGATTGCTTTTGACGACAATTTTCGATATTTTCGTGTCACAAAATAAAATTTTTCACTTCTTGCAAGATGAAGTTATTTCTCGTTGTTAAAGGCAGATATTTCCGCTTTTATCGTGTCACAGTAGTTATAGGTGTCTTTCCTAGGAAAACATAGAATGCAATATTACACTTTGTTTAAAAAAAATTCGCGAAACTTGTCATACGATAATTTATTATCGGGATTTTTTTCTAAGTATATAGTATGTAAGTAACTTAGTTATGTTGAATTCTTCAAGGAGATTTCTTACTTTGTTTTTCTGGAGTAATAAGATTTTCTTCCATTCGAGGAACCAATAAATTCTGTCACTTTGACGATAGTATCTTCAGAAATTTTGTGGTGCCTATTTCCTTGTTTTCCTCTAGCGTTTAATGGTACAGTGTCAGTTGAGGCCAGTGATTCTCGAATTCTTTACACTCGGAAAGCAGAAATTCCATGAATGGATAAGAATGTTGTGAAACATACTTACACAACACGAAAGTCTCCATCAGGGCCACTCTTAACACGATAGGAATAAGAAGCAAGATTAGGTGTCCCTTTACCCACTCGAATTCGTCGACGCATAACTCTGAGAACGGTTATCAGACCACTTAAATACCGATTCTGATCGTCGTAATTAGCAAGTTCATTGAATTGAGTCAAAATGCGTCGCTTTCGGCTTCATTGACGTTCCCAAAACAACTAAAACGGTGGCACTTGCAATCTGGCCCTACCTCATAAGTGGTGGCTCTCAGAAGTTTCAAAACGTCACGAACACGGCCTGTTTTTCTTCTTTTTTTAGCAGCAGTCCCCATATCTACATCACTACAATCGCTACCGCTACTTTCCATATTAATCAGTATATCTCACTACTTTACTATTGTTCAAATAGAATCAACTGGCAAACTAGAACACATTAACGAAGTCGCTAAACTAAGAAAGAGAATCGCAGAAATGCTGCACCCGACCAGGCCTGTTGAGAGAGAGAGGAGGCGCCTTCGGATCCTGACGGTTATTCCCTTGCAGCGCGTGGACTATCATGGTTCTTCCTCAGTACACGGTTTCAATTAACATTTGTAATAAAATGACTGTAAATGTTTTTCCCTTTTACTCCGTACCATCCGAAAGTAATTTGTATTCATCACTAGACAACTTCGTCATCTCAATTTCGACTAAAAGTGAACTATGATTGTTTTCCCCCTGACTCCTCATATAATAAGTATTATAATTTGCAATACTTACTTTAATTCGTATACTAAATGCCCGATTATCCTAGATCCAGAGGCAGCCAAAGGATGACCTAGAGCAATAGCCCCACCATTAACGTTTAGTTTATTCATATCCAATTTTAAATCTTTGGCACAAGCCAAAGTTTGGGCACCAAAAGCTTCATTAATCTAAAAAAAATGTCATAAGATATCTGGTTGGTTTATAACTAACAAAATAGTAAAAATCTAAAGCTTTCCTTACTTCTATCAAATCAATGTCATCCAAAGTTTTTCCGGTGATCTTAAGAATGTTTCTGATTGCTGGAGCTGGTCCGAATCCCATAATGGAAGGATCTACACCGACCACTGAGTGAGCAACGATCCTGGCTAGTGGTTTTAGGTTGTGCTTGGATGCAGCAGCTTCACTTGCTACGACAACAGCGCCTGCGCCATCACTGATACCCTAAAAACGTAAAGCGAATTATTAATTAATATGACTAATTAATTATTTTGGTATTATTTTGGGGTTTGTGCGTAACAGATGTATAAATCGAATATAATATTATTCTAATATCAATGCGAATGCGCTATGTCCGAAGTTCTGTGAAATAAGTCTTGGAATAAATGATTTATTGGTAGTTTCAAAATAAATACACTCGACGTAACTTTAAAAAAATACTTAACGATCTTCAGTGAGGTAAATATTCTCATAGACTACACACTAAAAACAGTTCAACCCCCAATTTATAAGTCCACAAATACAAATATACAATTCTTCTTCTTCTTCAGTGCCTTATCCGGTCCGCATGTTGGCGATCATCAAGGCTATCATGGTTTTGTTCACTGCTCTGCGAAACAGCTCCGCTGAGGTCATCCCAAACCATTGTCGGAGATTTTTCAACCACGAGGTACGACGGCGTCGTACAATTCATATATAATATATAAGTCGTCTAGTATCAAATCCACTTTTTATGAATTTTGAGCTATCCATGTCAAAAGATTTGTAATCTTGCCCTCTACAAGTTTATAGTGAATTTTCGATGCAAAACCCTCCTAATCTAATCTTAATTTGCATTTAAAATATTGGGTTGGTTTTAAAATGCAGCAAATCCAAGCACATGTCAAAATCAAATGCCAGCAAATCCGAGGCAACCAATCACCAAGTGACGTCAGTGAAAATGTTTGTTAGTGTAGTTAAAACCGTTTTAGTTGTAATAGAAGTTTGCCTTGCAAACTTTGTGTTGTTTGAATAAAATCAAAATAGTTTTATAGCTAAAATTAGTTGTTAAAACGTTTTAAAATCAAAATAGTTATGAAAAATTTCATGGGGCAGAGTCCGAAACAAGTAACACCGGATAGGAGTCGAAAACGTGTTTCACAGCCAGCCACTTTTAGACCATTTTATTGTAGTCAACTACCCACTGTCCAATAGATCGTTTGGTCTATCTCTTTCATTCACACTTTATGTACACTTCATTTAGCCTCAAACCTACAACCTTATTATTACAGACGGGTGTGAGTGTGAGATCTCGATTATGCAATCTAGTTTAAATCAAAATATTCTATATGTCATACTTCATCAGCTGATTTTTTCAGTAGTAGTTCTAGTTGGACCTTTGGCCAATGACAACTTATACAGAATTTTAATATTTGCTGATCACAGATCCATAACTTTGACTGCCTATCAAAGTTGTCATATGTCACATGTCACCGTATCATTTCCGCTTAGATCATTATCCCTCCAGATACTGACAGAGAATATAGCGTAGAATCTTTAAGTAATTTTAAACTGTTTGTCCTCGTTTTAGTGTAGTGTTTTGTACAATTTTATGTCACTATTAATGTTTCCACATTCTACGCTTGCCGGATAGTTTACATTTTGACGAAGTAAGTCTAAAACGTTAATCTCAAAAACTTTTTTCATCTATTAACTTCGAGTTTTTTATCGAAGTTAACTAATTTACTTCATCTAAAAAACGTTTTCTTGGCTTATTTCAGATGCCCCTGAAGATGCTATTTTAAGCGAAAGTACTTGGGCTAGATTTAATTAACTTGTGCTCAATAATAGCCTTATTTTCAAAGATAATTTATTTACAAAAATGTTAGATTTTGGTAAATACATTGATATCTTTAAGGAATTTTACCAAATGTTCAATTTTACATTTTTCTCCTAAGATTTCACTTGTTGATCCGATGATGTGGTTGTTCTGTCTCTGCAACTAGTATCTTGGGCACTCTACAAGTACATGCTTAACACTTAGTGGGATATTACAGTTTTCACATAAAGTGGGATTAGTGTGAGCAATTATGTGTCCGTGGGTAAGTCGGGTATGTCCTAGAAGAAAACGAGTAAGAATGACTTGGTGAGTTCTGTTGGGAATTTGAGATTTCCACGGTTTTACAAACGTTTTTACTTCGCGAAGTTTTGAAGTTGAATTGTCCCACTGGTTTTGCTACAGATTTTAAATCGTTAAGAACTACAACTCTCACTTCACTCGCGGTTTCATTGTTCCTGACTTGTTGGGCTGTACGATCCGCTTCTTCATTTCCTTGAAGGCCAATATGTGAAGGAGCCCATAGGCATTGTACAGTATAGTTATTGTTTTGAATGGTAGCTAGTTCTTTTTTGATTAGGAGAGCAATTGGATGCTTCGTGTACATTTGGTTAATGATTAATTGATGGAACTGAGGGAATCGGTAATTATAATTCCAAACACCTTTTGTAGTTAAACAAAATAAAAGCACTATTACTTACTGAAGCTGTTCCAGCTGTGACCAATCCATCCTTTTTAAATATTGTGGGCAGTTTCTTTAACATATCCAGGGTAGTCCACGGTCTTGGATGCTCATCAACCTCAAAGTTGACAATCTCCTTTTTCTCCTTAATTGGAACGGGTACGATTTCATCTTTGAACTTTCCAGCATCTTGAGCTAGTAACACAAAATTAATATATTAGTTTTGTTGGCATGTTAATATTCTTTAAAAACAACTTCCGTAAAATGCATATAGAATAGGCAAACGAAAAATCACTGAAATAGAGTACCATCTACAGAAGAAACTGATATAAAAGTTTAGAATGTTTATTGAAAAACAGGTAGTGTCGTAAATAAACACTTCAAACAGTGTAACCAATCTTGTTAGGCTGTTAGGCCTTGTCTTATGAAATTACGTTCTCGACGTTTCGGCCAACACTATGGTTGCATCTTCTAGAGATGTTACATGCTTTGCTTGTAAGCTGAAACTGCAACGTCGTGAGTACTACGGAGGCCATATTTATATTTTGTAAACTCGCCTCCCTCCACTGGTTCCTACCTCCCCTCACTGTCCGTAACCTACCCACACGGACAGATACCTAAACAAGAATTCAAATCACCATAAAGGCCAAAACAAGGTATCATCAAAACTCTAGCGGAGAGGGCGAAGATAATTTGTGAACCACAGTATCTGCAAAGTAGTGAGTAAGGGCTCAGACGAGAAGACTTTTGAGAAGAAAAAAGAAACAGTACCTAGAAGCGCGAATACAGCAACTCGAGGAGGAACATAGAACCGGGCAGTCTAGACAGTTTTATAGGGACCTAAAAACAATGAAGGGCAACACGACCAACAGCCCAAGATTTATAAAAGATGATACAGGACAATTACTTACCGACGACGAGGAGATAAACCGTCAATGGAGAAAGTATTTTAAACAACTTTTAAATACAGAAACTCCCACAACAACGGGGCAACACAGACAATACCAGTTAGCCGAACGTGAAATAGTAGAGCCCACACTAGCTGAAGTAAAGTCCGCAATTTCGTCCCTAAAAAATTATAAAGCCCCAGGACCAGACGGCATACAGGCGAAACTACTAAAAAAAGGGGGAGAAAAGCTACTCTTGAGATATACCATCTTATAAGAGAAGTCTGGGTAAGAGAAGAAATGCCGAAACACTGGCATGAAAGTCATATAATACCTATCCACAAAAGGGAGACAAACAAATATGTCGCAATTATAGAGGAATATCGTTAGTCAATACAACATACAAAATTTTATCCACAATATTATTTAGAAGACTAACTCCATACGCAGAGGAAATAATAGGTGACTATCAAAGTGGATTCAGACCGGAAGATCTTCGTCCTACGCCAAGTGTTGGAAAAAAACTGGGAATTCAATCGCGACGTACACCAAATATTCGTGGACTTTAAACAAGCCTACGATTCTGTTAGCAGAGAGGCATTGTGGAAGACCATGGTAGAATTGGGAGTACCTGGAAAGCTGGTACGATTAGCACAGTGAGCACGGAGAACGCTTCCGCACGGATCAGAATTGGCAACACCACGTCGGAGGAATTCCACATTGACACCGGGCTTAGACAAGGAGATCCTCTCGCTCCCCTGCTGTTTAAATTCGCACTGAAACATGCAGTAAGGAAAGCTCAGCCACAATTGACAAACGGATTTGCCGCACAAGGATCAAAAATACTATTGGCCTTTGCGGATGACGTGGACACAATAGCACAATCCACCAGAGCTGCAAAAGAAGTTTTCACCCTATTCGAGACCGGAGCCAAGGAAATTGGTCGTAAAGTAAACGAGGATAAGACCAAGTACATGGTAGTTACGAAGAACCCAAGACCAAGGGTTAGGCAAAACGTAACAATTAACGAATATAACTTCGAAGTCGTCAAAGAGTTTAAGTATCTGGGAGCGATCATAACATCTGAAAACAAATATGAAAATGATGTGGCAGACAGGATAATAGCAGGAAACAGGGCATATTACTCTTTAATGACCATCCTTAAATCAAAAATACTCTCAAGATCAGCAAAAATAAGAGTATACAAGACAATAATTCGACCCACAATAACGTATGGAAGCGAGACATGGACGCTGAACCAGCGGGAAACGACAAAATTACTGGTTCTTGAAAGAAAGATACTGCGGACTATCTATGGGCCTTGTAGAGAAGAAACAACAGGAAAGTGGAGAAGACACAATAATGAACTCCAGACAATGTATGGAAAAGAAAACATAGTCCGCTACATTAAAGCAAACCGAATAAGATGGGCGGGCCACGTCCTAAAGTCAAATAACGAAAGACTTCTGAACACCACATTCTGGGAAAGGCCCGATGGCAGAAGGTCAGTTGGCCGCCCAAGAAAGAGATGGAAGGGCGCAGTGGCCAGTAATCTACGTAAAATGGGAGTGCAGCAGTGGGAAATAGCTGCTCAGGACCGACAACAATGGAGGGAAATAGTAAACGCGACGAAGACTCACCTAGAGTTGTAGAGCCAAATGATGATGATAGTATCTGCAAAGTGAACTTCTTCATATTGAAAAAGCGCTCACTTCTAATGGTTATACCAGAAGAGAAATACATAAAGCGATGAACAACGTCTCTAGAAGAAAGGACGAAGAAACAGAATGTTTCCATTGTGTTGATGGGTAGTAATGGAGGGTTAAAAAAAAAGAGAAAATGTGGTATTTGAACATAGTGATCACACTGTATTTAATATGGTTAGATATCAAAGATATCTAAATATCCGGAATGGTAATAGACATAGGCGGTGGTAAATATCTAACAACTTTATTTTTCGCAGATAATCAGTTAGTCGTAGCGAATGATGACGAAGACATGGACTACATGTTTAGAAAACTAAAGAAAGAATATGAAAAATGGGCCTCTATATGAATATGTCAAAGACAGAGTATCTTAAAATAGGAGATGATGAAGAAGATCCAGAGTTAGAAATTAGAAACACAAAAACATGCAATGAATATAAATATCTCGGATCTATAATATCTAAAGAAGGCACTACCAAAAGAGACATCGAAAACAGAACGCAGCAGGGAAAAAAAGCGGTTAACATTCTAAACTCTCTACTATGGTCTAAAGATATTAGACAAGAAACAAAATTGACCATCTATCGAACCTTGGTAGAGCCTATTATGACTTATGGAGCAGAAGTTTGGCAGATCACGAAAAAAAATAGAAAAAGAATAGAAGTAATAGAAATGGATTTTCTAAGGAGAGCGTGTGGTGTATCAAAAAAAATCATATCAGGAATGAAGATATTAGAAGGAGGACAAATACTGTATACTCCCGTCTAGACAGAATTGAAACGAGACAACTAGTGTGGTATGGTCACGTGAAGCGAATGAATGAAGATAGATGGCCAAAGAAAGCTTTAAATTACATACCACAGCAAATAAGAAGGAGGGGAAGGCCTTCAGTTGCCTGGGAAGAAAATGTGCGACACCTAATGAGAGATAGAGCCACCAAAGAAGACGAATGGATGGACAGAGAACGATGGCGGTCGAAATGTGAAAGGCAACAGACAATACACTAGAAAAACTGTGGGATGTCATTTATATTTTTATTACCTTGGAAATAAAAGTGATAAAAGTGAAAAATGATACAAGCAGAAATAAGCAATGAAATAAACGCACAAATTCAAATATTAACGACAAACCTTACCGAAGATCTAACACCAACATGGAATACGATTACAAGTGCTGTAACAGACATCATGAAAAACAACTTAGGGTATAAACGAAATAAAAAGAGGCAAAAATGGATGACAGAAGAAATACTATTACTAATGGAAGAACGACGAAGACACAAGAATAACCAAGATGGCAGCAATATGTATGAAAACATTAACAGGCAAATAAAAGCAAAAATAAGAATAGCAAAAAATGAATGGCTTAAGCAACAATGTATCGATCTAGAATATTTACAACGACAGCACGACGACCGTAATTTACATAAAAAGCTTAAGGAGACTGCTGGAATATACAGAAAACGAAGACCAACTACCATAGTTAATCAGGATAACCAGATAGTGCTGGGTGAAAAGGAGAAAATTGATATATGGGAAAATTATATCCAGGGGCTCTTCCATGACGAAAGACCCATGAGTGAAGTTTATACAGACGACCAGCTGACTGGCCCTTCAATCACCAAAGAGGAGATAGAAAAAGCAATATTATACTCAAAAAACAATAAGGCACCTGGACCAGATGAGATCCCGTCAGAAATACTCAAATTACTAGATGAAAGGGGAATTTCAGCACTACACAAAATATTTAATTTAATTTATGAAACTGGCTGCTATCCTCAACAGTGGTTACGCTCTACCTTTATTCCCCTGCCCAAGAAAGTCAATGCAAAAAGATGTGAGGATCACAGACTCATTAGCCTGATGAGTCACACTTTAAAGATATTCTTAAAAATACTACATCAAAGATTATACAAAAAATGTGAATGGGACATCAATGATTCCCAGTTCGGGTTTAGGCAAGGTTTAGGAACACGAGAAGCAATAGTAGCAACACAGGTGCTGGTCCAAAATTGTTACGATCAGAGGAAGGATGTGTTCCTATGCTTTTTAGATTACCAAAAAGCGTTTGATTGTGTCCAACACCACAAGTTAATGCAGATTCTCAAGAAAGTTGATATAGACCAAAAAGACATAAGATGCATTGAAAACTTGTACTGGCATCAAACGGCACAGCTAAAAATAGACAATTCTATATCCAAGCCCATACATATAAGAAGAGGCGTTCGACAGGGATGTGTGCTTTCCCCTCTTTTATTTAACATTTATTCGGAAGCCATATTTCAAGAGTCTTTGGAGGATGCAGAGATGGGAATTAAGGTGAATGGAGTATTGATCAACAACATACGATATGCTGATGATGGTGTCTTAATTTGTGACAACATAATCGATCTTCAACAACTTGTCACTAGAATCGGAGAATACAGTGAGCGAATGGGATTAGAGATTAATACCAAAAAGACCAAATTCATGATCATCTCCAGAAACTTGGATGCACTTGAAAACTCCACCATAACACTGAATAGTAAATCCATAGAAAGAGTGAGTAAATTTAAATACCTGGGATCGTGGCTTTTTGAAGACTGGGCATCGGACAGGGAAGT